ATACCATTGATATCCAAAGTCAACCCACCATCCCAGTGATATTAAAACTTTAAGTGTTATATTTAGGATTTTTGGTAGGGACCTAACTACACAATGTATACCAAACTCTGTAAGAATTTTTATTTACTCTAATTATTCTAAATTATATACCGGGTTTCCGAAAAAGAACTGAAACATTTTAAAGGCAAATACTGATACCAAATAAGAGACTAGGTTGAATGTTTTATACATTTATTTAAAGCTTAAATTCTCTCAAGTTTGATTAGAAACTTAGTATAACTTGACATGAGCACCATTAGTGACCCGGCATAAATCTAAGCGAAATTTGACCTCTTCCCATGTATTGGTCAGTACTTCAAGGGATGTTGCACCAACACATGCGACTATTCTCTGTCGGATGTGATTCAGATCCCGAATCTGCACCTAGTAGACATAATTCTTTTTCCCAAAGGAAAAAGTCCAGAGGAGTCATATCTGGACTCCAGGCCACTGGATGGGCCCTTCCCTGCCAATCCACCATTCGTCGAAACGAGTATCCAGCGCTTCTCGCACACGCAAACTGTAGTGTGGCGGCACTCCATCCTGTTTAAAATAGACAGGGCCATTCCCCATCTCAATTTCATCAAACTATGGGGAAATACTCATCTAACATGTCACATTAAATGGCACCGTTTATATCCCCTGAAGTACTGACCAAAACCTGGGAAGAGGTCAAATTTCACTTAGATTTATGCCGGTCCACTAATGGTGTTCATATCGAGTTATAATAGTCATTGGTTATACTAAGATTCTATAACACTTGAGAATTAAAGCTTTAAATACTATAAAACATTCGACATAGTTTCTTATTTGGTACTAGCTGAACCCGGCAGACGTCTTGCCTTTGACGATTTATAATTTAAGTACCGTAACGTTTAATTGTCTTATTGTATATGAAGTGCTTATAACTAAATTAAAATACGTACGACAACTAATGAAACACATATAGTACAAAGGATAACCGATTCTTTATTATTGCTGTTATATTAATGCTAGTGGGTAGACAATATTTTTGGTCTTTCTATTCGGCGAACAGCTGATTAATAGAAAATGTTTGATCAACTTTCTGTTGTAAAGTTCCCTGGTTCTTGACAGGTATCATTACCAAATGTGGTTTTGTTCTCAGAACTTCAACAATCAAAACTTTTGATGTTTTTGGTTACGGTTTAATCAACGTAAAACCCTTAAGATTGTCATTTCATTGTCTATTGTGTTTTTCTGGAAACCCTAACAACGTTTTAATAAAAAAAAAACATTGTTTTTACATTTTATAAACTTTAATATTAATAATAAAAACAATAATAATAATAATTGAATAAATTAGGGGGTAAACCACTCTTAAACTCCTATTCTTGAAGTTAAATCAATTATTTATAAGCCGTAGGTACTTATTAGGGTTCAAATAAAAAAAACAACTTCAGACCAAATCTAGCCAAGAAGGCTAGATTTGGTATGGTAATAACTATTTGCTTTCAGTAAAATTAAAAAAAATAGGGTTGCTTTTTTAAAGTACCATCGTCTAGCTTTTTGACTGATTAAAAGAAGATCATAATCCAAATAGACACTATCGTGGGTCGTTGTTATTTAAAATATTATCCTAGAACGATATTTCTACCTTATGTTCCAAGGATTGCAATGCAAGTTTATTTAAACATGTGTTTTAATGTTGCTATGAATGAGTGATACTCTTAATTACACATGTTAGTTGCACCATCAACATGTATCGTTCCCTAATATATTTAGTGTTATAAATAATATGTCAAGTGTCCTTTTAATTTTTATTTTAAAATTTTAATGTTTAAATTTTGTTACGCCACAACTGTTTTGACGAACTTTCCATTCAAAGCACTGGTTGACAGATTCTAAATGCACCCCAATGTTTAAGGGTTGGAACAAAAACGTTCAGAATGTTCCATATGTATTATCAAGAACTCAAGAAGTGTAAATAGGTGAGGTCTATTGCCTTACGTTGAAGATGCTGAATTCGTTTCACCTTTCCACCGTTAAAAACTTCAATATCAAACTGCTGTCAGCGATTGAATAAACCCCCGCCGCAGCAGATGAGGGATTTTACATTATTTGCCTGATCGGATTTCCACTAAAGTATTTCCTTTGTCAGATTTATTCGCTATTAAAATAACATTAATTTTAATTTGTACTTAGGTATGCGTTTGCTGCTTAAAGAAATGTTATAAAGTGCGATTTTTTTAAATATTATCTTTAGTATAAATTTTCCAGGTAACCATTTGACAAACATGAACGCTTCAACATAGTAAATTATTTGATTTTTTTTAATTTATAAAGTGTATAGTAAGGAAATAATTGTGGACCCCCAATTTTACCCCATATACCCCTCCCCCAAACCAACCCAGTTTCTGTAGCCCGATCGCATTGGTTCACGTTCGAATAAACATAGGTTTATGCTATTTGCGATTGTACCAAATTTCATCAAAATCGAATTATTTTTACTCGATTTATCGTGCTAATGGACACATACATAGCTGTATTTAAATCAAAACAGCCAAGATTTTACCACCTTTTTTCACGTAAACTGACAACGCTTATAAAAGGTAAGTTCAAGTTTCGATTCGGTTTTATATCAAAACAGCCCTCTTGAGCATACTACGGATATAAAACTGGACTCCGAAACAAAACACAATATTGTCAACTTCTCAATTCAAGTTGGTTTTCTTCGTTTTATAAACAAAATATATTTTTTTTAATTTGGCTAAGCATTTTAAACATACAATTCACGGCAGATTTAAGTAATAACATAATTGCAAACATTTTAATTGTACGAAACAATTAAAATTGTAAATTATTCTCTTAACTGAACCTATACATAATCATAATCATTGTCAACAACGATATTTTTAGTTTCAAGGTTGGCAGTGTTGTTTGACTTGTTTTTGATTGGGCTAATTGTAAATTACCCACAAGTCTTTTCATGTCCCCGACAACACAGACTATCGGCAACTATGTAATTGTCACACTACAGAGTAAGAAGAGACCCTTGATAACACTAATGAAAATTGGTAAAAGTGTTTTTGTTTGAATTATTTTATCTGTTAGAGTTTATGTGTAATGAGTTTCACAGATTGAAGTATCGTTTAATTTTCGATTCGATCTAATCTATACATTAGTTAAACATTTTCTTAAAGGAGTTTATTTTTATAAAAAATGCACTATTATTTAAAAATTTGGTAATTTTAATTTGCATCATAAATGTTTGTAGATATACCTGGTAGTTACAATGTATCACGTTTTTGTTTTATACCAATAAACTCTGATTTTATCTTATACCTATGTTTCTACCAAAGGCCTCCATATTTTCAAAATACGTCTATTTAAGAGAGGTCTGATATTAATTAAAATTTATGTAATCAAATAACGATTGAAAAGAGTAAGCTTTTCATGTAATGATGGAAAATGTCCGCAATCACCCTTAAATGACAAAAACCAACCAAAGATGAGCTTGAAACTATGAATGTTGACTGTTTTATCAATTATCTAAAAATCATTTCATTCTATTACAATCCATTTCTCCTGTAGTGGCCATTTTTATTCAACCTGTAAACAAGTTTCAAAGCCATCGGCAGACCAAAGAAAGCTAAAACAAACACACGGGCTGAATCATTCATAGACTTCTAAAAGCTGTGCAAACAACGTGCCTTTATTTTATTGTCTTTGATTTGACTTTAAACGGGTTTGACTTGGTAACCTGCCAGCCGTTTTGTGCAGTTTGACTTTGCCTCGAGCAAAGAGGAATATCAAATGGTTCATTGGCGTAGCGAGATTTTCATCTTGCCCATATTAAAATTTATATCTGGTCTCTTTTGTGGCAAAATTGGAACTTTATTATCATATTGTAAGGGCTATAAAATACACGCTTTGTTAGTTATGTAGTCCTGAATATAAAACTAGGAGTACGCTCCGAAGTCACGTATGAAAATAAACGAAGACCATTTCATACATACAAATATGTTATTTAACAGTAGGCCTAACCATGGGCCTAACCACATTCGTATCAGTTGATCAGCTGCTCAAGCAGTTTTAATTTCATTAAGGCACTAAGTTACATCAAATCCATAATACTTTTTTACCAAAGCACTTTCTTTACTGCACTTTGGGCTTGCGTCATTAAAGCAGGGCCAGGAATCAGGGAGTTGGTTTATGCAAGGAAACCTTAGTCCAAGGTCATAAGGCATGTTTGAGAAAATTCGCTAAGGAACAGGTAAATATTTCCAAATTCTTTGATGTATTATGAAAGAATGTATTTCAAAGTATTACTAAAAACAGCAATATTGCTCAAAAATGCTGAGTAATATAGGTTTGTGAATCTATAAAAACTCCAACAATTACTATTTGTGATGTTTCATTGCTGTACAACATTCAGAAATAAACAGCATTATAACAGTGACTCCCTTAAATTAGTTGGTTAGTTTATATTATACTACTAAACGTGTATTTTATTTGTTTGGATTAGACTTTCAGTAAAGTCTAAGTTGTAAGAACAGTAACTGCTACATTTTAGTTGGCGTAAATATCAATAAAGGAGCATTCATAATAATAAACACGAATCAATTAAAATACTATATGAAAACTGGAAATATATATTTGAGTGAGAAGTATTTTCTTCGTCAAAATAAGTTTACAAAGGGTAAATGTGCAGCTAATAATGGATTTCAGCTTATTACTATTTACTTAATGAAAAGTTATACAGTACTTTATCCCGTACGTATGAATTCAAACAGTCCTTTTTGCTGCAGTTTGACAAAAAATACTTAAATTGTAAAATCATCTATTTATCATAACATTTTAAAGTACAGTATTCATATAAAAGCTAGAATAAGTGATTTCATGTTGAGTAAGGTTTGACAGATTTTAGGAATGGTAGGGGAGGAGTTGTGGATAAGTGGGGGTAGCATTGTTGCTTTAAGGGGGGGGGGGAGAGGAGATCACTGAACAGATGCTGTCAGTAGCCAGCTGATTATTAGTTATCATATCAGTATTAGTGCCTACTAACAGTGCTTGTGCCCGGCAGAACCATACACACAGCATTGTTGATAAGGTAAGGCTATGTGTATTTAAAATTGTTAATATACTGTGCTGTCTATTTTAAAATGTGTAAGTTCCATTTCACCACTTTGATACAGGCTCTCGTGACTACAAATAATCCAGTGATCGATTTATGGGTAAAATTAAAAATCAAAATCAAGAAAAACTATTCCCAAAACCGCTGTGTTAGCAAGATATACGGTATTTTAAATTTATATCTTTAAAAGTATTTTATGAATATTTGTTTTCAAATGGAAAATACCTAAAATCATATACCAAAAAGCAATTTCTCTCTATACCTTTAAAGAGCTTAAAAACAAATAAATTATCAAAGTGTTTTTGTACGGTTATTGGTAACGGAGAAAATTCAAATTGTTAGTTTAAAATTCCCATGTTATTCTTATGGAGAATATTGTAAAATGTTGTAGTTTGCTTGGTTATGGATATATTTTGATCAAACTTGGCAAACTTATTTATTTTATATTAAGTTATTAATATTCTACTAAAAAAATACACTTTATTAATTTCCTTGTATAACAGCAAACCTAGGTACTCGTTAAACCTAATCTTATTAAAATAGATTCAATTGAAAATAAATTCAGACAAATGGAAAATCGCTTGTCCGCAGGTTTGCTGCGGCGGGGTATTTAAGATATACATTTAGTAGAATAATTCAAACGATTAAATGGCTGGAATCTCGGTAACGAGGCGTATGTGGAAGAAATTTGGCCCTTGATTGTTGTTTTATTTTGCTAACCTTTAAGTACACATTCATTTTCAATAGGCTTTAGAACTGTTGGAAGTTTGTTTTGAGTGAACATTTCATCCAAGTAAGATATTCTAAATACCTCTAAATACCTAAATACCTAAATGTAGTAAAATTCTACATACCTTTAGAAATTGTGATAAACAAATGCCTAACTTCATCTAGCTATTATTCTTTTAACACCAAAGAGATACAATTCTATGACCACTCACAATAAGTAGTGTTAACTTTACACAGTTATTTCAGTCTTTTAGTAGTGGTGACGTTTTTTATTCAAATAAATCATAAACCATATTATACAAGTAAAATTAACAAAACAGTCATACCTATTAATTGCCCTTTCTTCAAAATATCAAAATATTTTAAGTGTAATTAAATGAAGACCACAATGTTCGATTGTGTTTATCATTAACTTATTAGGTTTAGGCCTAAATAATGCTTTTTAGAAATACAAATCTGATATATTGATTCAATTTCAAATATATATTTGAATATTTAAGATAGAGGCCTAAGTTGTAGTTGATTACTGTGCCATTTAAGTTCTTGGAAATAAAATTATTATTTAGGAATCATATTTAGGCCTATTGCATTTTTTAAACAACTGCATTTACCGATTTTTATTTATTTTTTTTCGAGCATACATACATTTTAAATATTTATTTATATCAATAACAACTGCAATTCAAAGTTCAACTCCTTAGAAAGTGCAAAATGACCCTTTAACTGGCGTGCAAAATTGATTAGTTCAATGTCTGGAGTGAATGACCAGCTTCAGTTTCTAGTCTACTGTTCAGTCAGAGTGATCTATCCTTATAAGATATACGAAAAATAATTTGGTCAAATTTCAATAAAAATATTGTACACCCATAAACAAGTAAACTACAGCAGTTTTATTTTTCTCTATAAGAATAACATAGGAATTTTAAAATGAAGTACAATATTATTTGTTTTTTAAGGTCCTAATGCTTGAATTATAAATGTATATTATCATGTTTTATGGGTAAAAATAAAAAAAATATTTTTTTAAATTTGAAAACCCCATAACACTTTGTTTGCCAGCTCTACTTATCCAGGCAAAATTTCATCTAAATCTGACCAAAGTTGCTTGAGTTTAACATGTTCACGGACACACTCTTACATACATTATACAGTATACAGATTTGAACGGATTGTGTTTTTTTTTGCCTCTGGGGCATCAAAATGAAAAATTAAATCGGTCCCAAGTCTAGGTCTTGTTCTGCCACCTTCGGTAAGCTTAAAAAAGCTTCTTCCATAAAGGGAAATTCACTAATACCTGTAATTTCATCATAATTAAAATATGTATCCTGTAAGTAATAGAGGCCTAGAGCTTTTAAAAAGTAATTATTTAATTTTCTTGTTTATGAAAATTATTACTATTTACAGATTTGTATTACCTATTTCATTCTGTATGGGTTTACATTCCTTAATAAGCAATTCCGTTACAGTTTTACTTGAAATTGAAATTGTTTACATGAAATTGTTTTTTACTGCTGCACCATTCAAATAATTTGTTCCCTAATAATCATTATATTAAATAGATAGTTCGAAGAGGTGGGTCTAATATTGTCCACGGGATTGAGAGGAATGAGGACCAAAATAAACTAAAGAGCTTAATCATACCCATTCCAGGTTGATATTTTTAAGTAAGTATATTTAGCTGCCCTTCCTTTGAACTATTCACAGTTTGTTATTTATTTCTCCAGTCGAGTTTTTAATTTTGTTCTAAATGGACCTACTTCAAGTTCCTCGGCTCCAAATGCCCATAGGTATGGTTCTTGTACATATTTGTATGTAAACATTATTTGTTGAGTATAAATATAAAAAGGTTTTATGCTAGCTAGTATCGAAAAAAAATGATTTCATACAGTTTGTCAAAAATACAAAGTAATGTCTTTTATGAGGACAGTAAATACTGTAACTCTTTAACAGAAATAATATCCAGAATTGAAAATATTTAGCATTTAATCAACCTTAGTTTGAACTTCAAAAACTTGTCTGAAATATGTAATTACTGTAATCTTACGTAACTACTGTAGTGATAATTTGCAATTTCAATATACCTGGCTTTTGAAAGTGATATGTTTATTTATAGTGATAGTGTTTATAGATTCGTCACATCGAAAAATAATACCCGTCATTGAAATCTATTCTTGTGTTATAAAATCTTTATGGATTCCCGGAATTTCAACCCTGAAATTGACCTTATATTCTTAATCAAAATTTTAAATCAAATAAACGACATATTAGCCTATTTTTTTAATTTTTAATGTTTTACTGTTCAATTTTTTGATTGCAAAATACTTACTTTTGTGTTAGTAGTTGATAGAACAAAAATGAAATTTTGCTCTTTACCCAATATAATCATTTTAAAATAAATTTCTTTTTAAAACTAAATCCCCACTAATACTGTTTCATCAATAAAGTGTATCTTGAATAGATATTGAAAATGTTGCCTACAATATCCAAAAGTAATCCATTTTATTTATTCTATTATTGTATGTCGTAAATTATCTTATTTTTCAAAAATAAAACCATACAAATCATTCCTACCAAAATATTGCAGGATAAGTAATAAAATAATAATGTCCACTCTCAATACTAAAATGAATTTGTCCTTAATCATATAGTTTTTTTCTCCCTTTCTAAAGTGTAAAGATTAAAGCTTCTTTCTTTTTAAGACTTAATAATAATCAATTAATTTTGTTATTATTATGACATTTCAATTCAGTGTGATCCTACCAATGTTCATGATGCAGAATCAATCCAATTTGTTTTTACTATGTTACTTAATCAACCAAGTTTATTCCTACTGTGTTTTTTAAATATTATATGACATTCAATAAATTCAATATGTTCCTACTGTGACCCTAAATCAACTCGGTTTTTTCCTACTATGACGCTAAATCCATTCATTTTGTTCCTACTATGATACTAAGTCAACTGAGTTTGCCCATACTGTGATTCCAAATCAATTCTGTAAAGTTTGTTCCTATCATTACACTATGCTAATTGTTTCCGTCTCTGATGCTAAATCGAACCAGATGATTTTTACACTGATGCTTACGCTTATGTTTGTTCCTAAAACGATGCCTCTTTGATTATAGTTGTTCCTAACTTAATGCCACTTTGATTTTAGTTGTTCCTAACTTGATGCCTCTTTGATTATAGTTGTACCTAACTTGATGCCTCTTTGATTATAGTTGTTTCCTCCCTATAGTTATAGTTGTAACTTGGTGCCTCTTTGGTTGTTCCTAACTTGATGCCTCTTTGATTATAGTTGTTCCTAACTTGATGCCTCTTTGATTATAGTTGTTTCCTCCCTATAGTTATAGTTGTAACTTGATGCCTCTTTGATTATAGTTGTTCCTAACTTGATGCCTCTTTGATTATAGTTGTTTCCTCCCTATAGTTATAGTTGTAACTTGATGCCTCTTTGATTATAGTTGTTTCTAACTTGATGCCTCTTTGATTATAGTTGTTCCTTATTTTATGCCTCTTTGATTATATTTGTTCCTGACTTTATGCCTCTTTGATTATAGTTGTTTCCTCCCTATAGTTATAGTTGTAACTTGGTGCCTCTTTGGTTGTTCCTAACTTGATGCCTCTTTGACGTTGTTCCAGAGGCCAGCATGACAGAGGGTGGAGGGGAAAAAGTAGACCACTCGACCAGCACAACCCCTACATTTCAGCGCAAGTTTATACAAAGGCATGAACAGTCAGTTAGTGTCGGCAGTGATGACTTCATATGTAAGTTGAATAGTTTTAATCTCCAAAAGGCTTTATAGGATAAAAAGCAGTTTCTTCTGAAATAATAATATGAATATCTGTACCTATATTGTGTGAATCGTCAGACCAACTGAATTGTGAACCGCAAATATGAAGTTTGCTGGTTCAATTCAGGGAGGTCTCGATTCTGTTGGACCCTAATGCCGTTTCATTGGGATATCATTTGATAATGCAAAACTAAAAATAATTATACGCCAAGAGTCCCATTGTCATTTTAAAACTAAAATAATTGGGAAAATCCATGATATACAAAATGATTGTTCACCAGTTAATCCCCAGCACATGTAGCGCACAATGTAATTTATAAAATGATAGTAAAGTCATTATAAAGAATAAGGTCAGGATAGAGTAGAACTGGATTGGCACACGAAAAGTTCACTTTCCAAATAATATATTAAAGGTAAGAGTTTAAATCTAGTGGTATCTAATGAATCACTGAGAAAGTCACAATGAATAATCTAGTGTTATAAAATCTTTCACAAATTGCCGTTAAAATATATCTTTATTTCTGTATGATATGAAAAAAAAACCTTTTACCAGATGAACCAATAGTATTTTAAAGAAAAGTCAATTTAACGAGTAAAAAGAGTAATTTGTTCTCAATATTTTTCAAGTCACTGAATCATTTCATTGGTCCATGACCTAAGACACTCCATATATTAATGTCTAAGGAATTAAATTCCACATGCATTGGGCAGGGGTTAAGGTTGAAGGATTCCTTGATCTATTGTCGATAGAAACAGCTGATCCAACTACACCTTTTCCACTTTCATTTAAGAAAGGGTCAAAGCACTTTTATTTAAAAAATGATCATTTATATTCCATAAACCATTATTTGCATTTCAGAAGATATCAATTGTATTTCAGATAGTATAAACTGCATTTCAGAAGATAGCAAATAGTTATTGTATTTCAAAAATAATAGTGTAAACAACTTTTTTATCAGCATTAGGAATTGCAGCTGATTTTTGAATGATCCTGTTTATAACGAATGTTTGTATTACTTTCTGAAATACATTTGACTAACTCTGAATGTTAATGAGACAATTTCTCAAAAATATATGAGTATTTCTGAAATTCAATTTATTATTCTCAAATTCAATTGATGTTTTCTGAAATAAAAGCTACTAGTCTGGAATACAAATGATACTTTCTGAAATAAAAACGTCAATTCTGAAATACAATTGAAACTTTCTTAAATAAAACTAGAAAAGGTGTAGACTAGAATAAAATACCGGTACCACATAATATAAGCATTTTTTGTTGTTATTAAAATATTATTGAAGTTTGTCTTATTGTTTTCCAAAGTACCTGATACCTATACTAGTAACTTTCCAAGTATTCCAAGTACCAGTTTCTTGTCCAATTTAGACACATTGAGTATTTTTACAACTTCATTTACACCTCTCTCACTTAACTAATGCATGATCAAATGTTATAGATTATTTCCAAGTGGTTAATACAAAACAATATACGCAATTTACAAATTGAACTTTCCGATAGTTAAACACTAATCCCACTCTTAACACTGTGTACTAGCACTATCCTAAGTAGTATTGACCCAAGCAAGATCATAAAGATAATAATTATCTCAAGATTACATAATTTTAATTCAATGATCTTCATAATTTGCTAAATGATCTAACTATCTAAAATGGATGTTGATGAACTATTGGCAAAAGATAAACAAAATGTTAAGTTTACTTGAAGTTGAAAGAGTAAGTAGAATTTTATACTTGCTGAAATTAAAAGTAGTTGAGTAGAGATTTTTAGTCGAATACTCTAAATTTCAGCAAATTTCATTTTATAGGGAAAAACTATTACCGTTAAGACTCATGGTAAGCCTCGGGAATGTTATATTTTATCATAATAAGATCCCCACAGGCCAATGTTGAAATTGGTAAAAAAATGTAATGTGTCCGTTAGTACAGTAACTTGAGTACAACTCATCCAATTTCAATAAAATTTTGTACAATCATGTAAATAACCTACAATTATTCCGACAAGTTTGCGAACCAGCAATATCAGAATAGGGTTTTATGGGGTAAAAAATTGTTTTTTTCTATTTTTTACCCCAAAAACAAACAAAAAATGCATTTTCCCTCCAATCTATTTTGTAGAACTTAAAGTATAAGAAAAATAATTTTTCCTACAGTCACCTAACAAAGTTACCTTCCTTGCACTTCATAGCACAGAAGATGCTAATTGCTGCATCTATTTACTTTTGCCGCACAGTTTTTTTTTTTCCACACACCAGTATTCCAATCAAACAACACAAAACAGAGCGTGCTTTTATTAAGCACCTAATACGTGTACGCTTGAAAAAAAATTGGCAACACTTAAAGATATACTTTAAAACCAACTTAAGATATACTTTAAATTAACCTAAAAACGTGTTGTACAGTGTTTGAAAGATTAATTATGTATACGCTGTATAGTAAGTGTAGGAAAAATATAAAGTGTAACACGAATGCAAACTGATGCCTTTGCTGCACTCGAGAAACTTTCCACACTAGCCTACGTCTTGTGCTTAAACATTTCTCTTGTGTGCAGCAAAGTGCCACTTCGCCCACTAGTTATACAAATTACTTTAGTAGGACTACACTAGAGCAATGTTCACACGATTAAGATTTAAGATGAAATCGATTGATTACCTTTTTGGTATTACGAGTAGCCAAATTGGTGTTTAATTTTCAGAGCACAACATTATCTTTTCAGATTTGTACATTAACGATATACCAGAACAGTAATAGCTACTACAACTACTAGTCAACTCACAACTGACATTGTGCAAGAGATTAGAGACCTTTGGAGTAACATTGGCTTAGTAGGTTAAGGCTTACCTATCAGTTTACGTACAGCTGTAAACGGTAAGGAAGTTTTATGAACTTGTAGGTGTCATCTTGTAGTGACAAGTCTAATTTAGTTTAGAAAAGATTTTAAGTATTTGTCAGCAACACAACAACAATCAAGTTAGGTTCTTATTTGCTCTACATAAGTGGTTCTATGGAAGATAATATATTTTGAACTAAATTCAGTGCAATTTTGCATGAATGAGAAAATAGGATAAGAAATGAAATTGAAAATTGTTTTTCCAGTGGTTGAAGACTTGGGACCTCATCGGAAAATCAGTGTTAAGGAAAAAGTGGACAACATCAAACCATGGGTGTCACATAAGATACAGAAGTCGATGACAAAAAAGAATCTGAAAAGGAGGTAAGTTTTGTAACTGATTTGGTATTTCTCATCTTTTGCACAGTTGTGTGGATTTTTATGTATAGGTGGTACCTTTCATTTTCAAAATTTTATTATTACCGTATGCATCAGCAAGAGATAATTTTATGGTATTAACTTATTCTGATCAGTTAAGATATGTTAATGTTTTTTTGTGTTTACTGTTAATTATATTGTTTTTTACTGGCTCTATACAAATTTCATCAAATACATACCATAAGTGATCTATATTTTAAAACTCAATTGCTTGTCCAAATACATAAATAAATAAAAGACTGAAGCACACAATCAAAATTGTAATATCATGCAAAATACAAATTTTGCAATACATCTTACCGCTGTTATACATTTATCAGAAGATTTTTAATTAGTGACTTGACTAAAATAGGATGAGAAGTCTACCCGGTATCCAAATTCAATGGTCCTGTCCAATTATTTCAAAAGTGATAAACTTAACCATTTCAAATGACATTATAGTATACTTTAAATTCATTCCTGTTACTATTAGCCCCCTTAAATAGTTTAACAGAACTATATTACTATTATAGGTACAAGCATAACTAGGATTACTCAACAATAGTGTCAAACATGTCAGTAAAATTGACAAGATAGTGTTGAAACAGTTAGACTGTTAGACTTATCTTTTGGTAATAAAGATAACTGGACAATAATGAGTCAACTTTGTGTCACTATTTCAGTAAAAAAAATACCGTTTAACATTAAGCCTGCCATACTCAAAAGTAAAAACTAAAAAATTTGTGAAAAATTTAATTACTATCTTGAGAGAGTAGGTATTTTTATCATAAATATAGAGTTTTCTTCCTCTGTTGAAAAACACAACAAAGATCTATGTTTTCCCTAAAAAATCAAGAAATAACTATAAGCTAAAAAAAATATTCTTTGCGCTTTATAAAGTGTAGTTAATAATAACACTGAACAATAGAACATCTATTAACCCCACCTTTGGGACAGGGAACATACAAACATAACAGTTAATCGATAACAGAAATCCTATTATAAACCTGAATAGTATAAGTTTATTTAGAAGGTTTTGGAAGAAATTAAATCCGGTAAAGTGAATGATACATCTTTATATTTTAATTACTTACATTCAAGAGTAATACTAGAACTTTTATTTTGTATGTTGTAATTGTTCAATGTTCGTACAGTGAAATAAAATCACATTTAAAAATAGTATAAGTACTGTAGTGAGATGGCGGATAACAAAGTGGGTGACGGTTAGTTAAGGTTCTACTGTACCAAGTACAGTATTATTGTACAAATAACCAGGATGGTAACATGACCTAGCCTTGACAAGAACTTAAAAAATGTCAATGGCGATCACAAACATAAATAAAGAAAAAATACTCAACTTTCACAACACTCTTGTTTTCGTCAGGTTCCCCATCACTTGTTGGTTGCCCGGCTATTCGTCCGAGGATGCAGTGGGAGACTTGGTGGCAGGAGTCACTGTGGGCCTGACAGTAATACCTCAGAGTCTGGCATACTCCAACATAGCCGGACTACCAGCTCAGGTCATTGTATAAGAAAAGTTAAAGGGTTAATTTACCTCAAAACACATAGTACAATAGACTCCCTCTTATCCGGACATCAGTTTAACCGAATTACACTTGCCAGAAGTGGTATCTCTTTAAACGGAAAATTTGTATCCAGTGCATTGGCTTAACCGGACAAATCGACAGGAAGTAAGCGGAAAGCGGTAAAATGAAACTTTTCTAAAAAAAAAGAAAGACTTAAAAAAAAGACTTAAGAAAGAGTTGGGAAAGAAAAGAGTAAGAGAGTTGGGAAAGACTTAAGTGTTCAGTATCATAATCCAATGCTCTTCCAAATATAAGTAAAATATTTGGGTTAGTTTTTGACTAATTTACGTGACGTGCACATGTATTGTTAGTCTTGTTCATACAGTGTATACTCTTTTAAATTGGGGTTGCTGTGAACGTTTGTACCAAACGTTAAAGTACAGAATATTACCGTGTATTATCCAATATACTGCTGTGTGCCCTTAATTTACTGTAGTTTTTAATATGATTTTCCGTATATTTAGAGTGTTTTCTTTTTTAAGAAATAAGTGACAAACTTAGGCGTAAAGTTGTGACAGTTGGATAAAAGATTAATAATGCCTTTGAATGCATGGATAAAGGAGAATCGGTAAATATAATTTGCAATGAACGTAATGTAGGGATATCTGGTGTTTTGTCTTTATAGTAACTATCCCAAAGTGTATAGTTTTACTATTTTCACGTAATAACTAATTATTGGCTGTAAACATTAGTCGTTCCTGATTTAACGAGTTTTGATGGACATCAGTTTAATGGAAAACTAGTTATCCGGACTAGCCACAGTTCTGAGAAGTCCAGATAAGAGGGAGTCTACAGAAGGTTCTTGTGGTACTTCCATATCTGTCAGGTCCCCTGCAAGCAAATTGTGCATTTCAATAAGATTCAAAACTAGTTTGTAAGGCAAAACAAAAGTACAATACCCTTTTACCTTTCAAAAATTATGTACATTTCAGGCAGTTATTATATTAGGTGAATAAAACTATTAATTCACAATATAAATAAATTTTGATGATGGTAGATTTACACTATTAAGATAGATTCCTTATGTTGGCATCATGAAAACTAATCTAATCTAATATAACACTTGTATTATAACATGCAAATAACTTTACGCCTTTTGCAGCATGGTCTCTATGGCTCCTTCCTTGGCGCGTTTATGTACATATTCCTCGGTAGCTGTAAAGACGTCCCCATGGGTCCCACAGCCATATGTTCCTTACTGACGTACACAACGTTGAAAAATCTCGGACCAGCATATGCTACATTGCTGTGCTTTCTTTCCGGAGTTATTCAACTGCTCATGGGCATTGCTGGGTTAGGTAAGTTTTATTTTGTATTTTTTACTAGGATTTTGTTGGAAAGGGATCGAGTTTAACTAACTTAACTGAGAAAACTCGGTCCAAGGGTATAAAGATCTTTCAAAAGGGGAGGGGGAAGTTTATTTTATCTCTAAAGCCTGGTTTTCCTAAGCGGGGAAGCGTAATGTGGAATGCCGAGAAGCTATATCTATGGCGGTCCGCTTTGCTTCTAGGAAAACAGTACCATTAAATTACCTAAGACTCTGCATTCCGTGTTCCGCATCAGCGCTAGGAGAATCCAGCTTTAGTACCTGAGCTATACATTTTTTAAACAAAGATGCCAGCCCATAATTGGTATCTTACTGTATATATTGGGAAAAGACACCTTTTAAACATTTAGTCCAGATAATTAACCTTACTTAGACCTTGTGAAACGATAAATGTGCTGATCGAACAAAGTTGATATAAATTACTAAATAAGTATAAATTGACTAAAATTTAATAACACTTCGGCTTGTATTAGAGGAGGCCATGGAATGGTAACTTCAAAATCTTCTTATTCTTAATCAGCTGTTTTTGTTTCCAGGTATAATCATAGATTTTATTTCTGGACCGGTTTCATCTGGATTCACTTCAGCTGTTGCACTGCTTATTTTAATGTCTCAGGTTGGTACCACTGAAAATACAGTACCGGTAACTCTGTGTTGTATATTATTTGAACTTTGAACAGCATTTTTGTAAAAAAAAACTGATTTATCATAGGAACAAAGTGTAGTTTTACTTTGGGACTCTGAAGTAGACAACTTATCTATATGGACCAGCTGTTGCAACTTTTTATAGTTAAAAAATATAGTTCTGTAATACAGTAACTTTCTTCAAGTTGACTTTCTTCCGTATTGCAACAACTTTAACAGGGGAAGATATGTCTGTCTAGTTCTATGTTATATTAATAGTCAAAGGTCCTAACATTTTCTATTTGCAAACTTTAAAACCCCACATTTTCAGGTGAAAGACATTCTAGGAATCAAAGCGGCTGGATCAACGTTTGTGGAGATGGCCATATCAATATACAAGGACATTCACAATACTAGGTTCTGGGATACATTTCTGGGTATCATCTGCATATTCTGCCTTCTTCTGTTGAGGGTAAGACAAGAATATTTTTATACAAAATTGTATAAGAGGGGGTTAATCCTGAAAATCAAAACTTCTTAATTGACCCAAAGGAATTTTAAATAAACATCAAATACCAAAATTAATTAGAGAGGAGATTAATTAATGATGTTCCTCTAGAGTAGATTTTAAGAATAATATTATAATTTTCACCAAAGGATTTTATCTAAGTGATAATGCCCCCCCTAGGTCTAGCCTGAAGTAAATGTGAAAAACAATCCCGGGCCGGTGCCTAGCGTCCTAGGACAAAGAAAATCACAAATTCACGTAATTTGCGATTGGCAGGATTTGATCCCTTGACTTCAAGGCAAAACTCTTGACTTTTAACCACAAGACCAGTTAGCCTTCTAATCAGCAGACATTGAAACTGTAAAATGCAAGCTGGAAATTAACGGTGAAATCACAATTTCTCCCGGTTCTGTCCCTAGCTACCTCTAATTCTAAACTTCCTGGTTGCCCATTCCGGTTAGTTCAAGGCCAAGGAAAACTATTGCATCCACAGGAATAGACTTTCCCCAAGTTTCTTTTGAAAATATGGAATTCATTGTATTCTATTCAACTCACAACACACAATTTCTCATAACAAATATTTTTCACTAATTATTGATACACTTTGTATCAATAATTCTAACACAACCGACAGAAGTTCAAGCAATAACTTTTCCCACTTAGACGTCAGCTAACCTACTTTCAGGACACAAATCACTCAATTGTTTTGAGTTGATGGGGAATTGAACTGGTGGCCTTGGCCTTCGTAATCATTCTGTTTGCCTCAATGATGTCAGCTACAATTGGTTCGCTCACTTCGCCGCACTTGTCACTTTTGTAAATTCATAATTCACAGCTGCCAAATCCGCTCACAAATACTGGTTGCAATTTTATAGTTAACTCTCCACAGTAATTTTAATTGGTGAGATTATACTGTAAGGTTGTATACATATTTGATTGAGTAAAGCTTTTGAAGAGGTTATTTACCTATAAACAGCCCAACACAATAAAAAAAAAAATATATATATATATAGGCCTATATTATACATATATATATTTTTTGTTTTTTGTTTACATAACACATCAATTCGTGAATAGTGGCTGAAGTAAACTCTTTTTAATTCTGAGATTATTAAAAAATCTACTTTTACCATATCAAAATTTCATGATAACTTGCAACTTACTGTTTTCCATTGGAACAGTCTGTACTATGACCATGAGTAAAATATGTTAAACTAGCTGTACCCGCGGGCTTTGCCCCGTTTTACTTCATAAGTGAGCCCGTTCGCATGGCTCAATCACGTCCTGGTTGAAGTTCGTTCGCTACGCTCACTCACCTTTAGAATAGAGCTCGTTCGCTACGCTAACTCGCCTCCAGGTTGAAGTTTGTTCGCTACGCTCACTCACCTTTTGGTTGCAAATTAGCTGTTGTCATAGATAAAAAAAAATAATAGTGCTGCACCTGTTGGTAATCCTTGTAAGTTTTTAATGCGTTTGCATATCATAGAATCAACTTTTTAGTTGAAACAGCTGACTAAATTATTTAATTCCCTTTTAAAATGAATACTCATAAGGTTAACATGGGGAACTATAGAGCCACTGGGGCGGAGCCCGAAAGGATTTTTGAGATAAGAATATGCCTATATGTTAATCGGGAATGTGAGCTATCATCATGCCAAATTTCAGCAAAATCCGTCCAGTGGTTAATGCGTTCACTTGTCACAAACATACATCCATACATCCAAACTTTCTCATTTATAATATTAGTAGGATAATTCGACTATCAACAAAATTTCAAGTTAATAGCCTTTTAAGTTATAACTAAACTAATTAGAACTATACATTATCATAATATTCATATAGAATAAGTGCTTCTCATCTTCGAATGCTTCTTTTTCTTGCTTAATATTCCTCGACTTAGACGCTATGGTGTTTATGAAAGTTTTCTAAACCCTCTCAATGTGATACCTCAAATACTTTATTCAACCTGATAAACAGTTTAATTTTAAAATTATTTCAGCTTCTAAGTGACGTGAAAATTGGACCAGACGAGTGGACCGGAGTTGCACGGACTCGCTACCAAAGAATCTTCAATAAGGTAATAAACGGTATCAGCAAGCTGACAGATACTTTCCCCCGTTAGTTTGGCAACAACCATTATTATGTACAAGCGGTGGGAGTAATTATGATATTTTAAGAAGATCATAAAAGTTGCAATAGCTTTTAAGTCGTGATTTTAACATCATTTGGTTGCACCATTTTGTTTCAAGTTAGAAGGACATATAAGCATAAAAACCAAAAAACGTCTGTAGAGACCATGGATTAGTTACGGTACCTACTTATAAAACTTAATCATTTTTTTCACACACATACATAGAGACATACCCAAGCAGACATCACTTCAAAAACTACTTTTTTTGGTCCAGAGGGGCCCAAAACGGATACTTACACTCACAACTCAAACTCTAAAATTTTGACAAAAGAATACTTTTTCATATAATATGTATAACGATTTTTAAATGTGTATTACCTAGAAGGAAAGAGGCAACTTGTATAAGGACAATTTTATTTATGACGAAGCACCTGTACATACATCCTGTAATATTTTGTACGTTTTGTGCCAATAAATATCATTCAATCCAATTTCATTCAATATAAGGGGTGAAAGTATAAATTAGAATATCTTTAAATTGTAGCATAATTTTACTTTGAAGTAATACAATAAGTATATTTACACCCTCAATGTATGCCGCCAGTCCATTGCATATTCCTATGGCAAATCCAAATACAGTAATGGTTAAAGCCAGTTTTAGAAGTGTACATAGTACCTAACTACGTACTTAAAATTTTCTCAAACTGGCAATTCCTAACATTTGACCACATCTGTGCTCTCTCTGATTTCAATTTTGTTTGTATTTGTATAAAGTGTTTATGGTATTTCATAATCAGAGAATTAACTAGGCCTATACAAGAGGGGTTTAAGAGATAAAAAAAGAGTTTAAATTGATTAAATGACAAAACATCAACAAGTGATGATCTTAATCGTTTAAGACAATTGTTTGGAGCGGATAATTCCTTTATGACTCGCTAATCGGCTTCCAAGTTCAAGTTTATCAGTAACAAGTGCTATACATCCAAATCAGCAATAAGGTCAATTACCTTTTACTGTAATTGTTTCATATTGATTTGTTGAAGCTGTTAAGTTTGTTATAAAATTATGATATTTTTTGAGCTAAAACATTAATTAACGAATATTTTGATCTAACAGGGTTTGGTGTTCTAAAATCACTATGACGATTGACATTCTGATTTAGAGCAGTTTGTTTCCATCTGAATAAAACCAAGGCCCCACTAGGAAAAGAGGCCATGCTGCAGCACGGGCAGCGCAACACTATGACGTCACACTGGTGGCTAGTTGTATTAAATTTGCCAGGCGTAAACAGCCAGCTTATTTACCTGAAACATATGGGGTATGGCAGTGAATCCATCCACGTGTGATGTCATGGATCCTGCAGACTGGCCTGTTTTTCTAGTGGGTCCTTAATAAAACTGTCAGATACAAGTAAATGTGACAACAATAAACATATCAACAGAGTGTACAAGAGTAGAAACACACATACAGCAACTGGGAGTGGAGCGGAGAGGCGCGATTTAGAGCGACAAAATCAAATCTATACAATCATGTAGTAATGCGCACACAAACAGCTGTTGCGAGCGTAGCGGTTTGCTTTGGAACAATCTCGTTTGTTTTTCTAGCGTTTGGGAGCAGAGCGGGCAAACGATCTTGTGGACATTTTTAGTTCCACTTTTGCCAGTAGGCCGCACTGTACGCCCATCTACCGGAAACAGAACTTACCCAGAGCGTTTTGGAACCTTCTCTTTTTTAAATAATGTATTCAAAGGTCGAGGTAGATATGTATTGCATGAATTGCGATTAATGCTTCTTAAGAACTGGAAACAAATTAACCATGTACCTCCCATCCTCCATTCACTCCATGCAATCACTCCAATCGGTTTGAAGCACGCAAAATTAATGTTTTTAGCCACATGTTTTCGCTGTGCTGCAAATCACATGTGAAATTACTATGTGATTTCTTGGAAATGATCGAGCTCCCGTTTGTGTCGTTCTCGCTAGTCGTTGCATGTGTGCTGATCAGTCAATCTGAGTCGCGCCGCTACAGCTCACTCTGGACAGCCCCGCTTGCTCCGCTCTGAATACATTACATTTTACGTTTTACAGTTATCGCTGTATGTGTGTTTCTACCCTAACAGTTTTTGTTTCCAGGTGGTATGGATGATCGGTACTTCTAGAAATTCGATCCTTGTAATAGTAGGAGGTATTCTGGGGTTCTACCTTTACCAACCTGGTCTTCCATTGAAAGAACAGGCAGTCTTACTAATTGGTAAGTTACTTTATTCTTGCCTCTAACTATATTTTGATAATTTTACCTGAATAAAAATGTATGCATATATTTATCTTTAGTATATCAGTAGTAATTAACCTTTGTATACACCACTAATAGAAGTGAAGGATTTTATACATTAATAGTTGAAAACTTTAACTCAACATTTCACAGAAAAATATCTTGTCATCTCTACTGCTTATTTCTGATTAATTCGTGAAGGAAACCGGAATGGATACAAAACTAAAAGAGTTCCAGGCAGTTGATAGCAGACTTAAAGTTCACTACACAATACATTTCTTTCACTCCTACAGGGGACTTCTTTTGAAGGAAATATTACAAGGTCTCCTATTCTGAATATAAATTGAAGACGCCTCCTTGTTAGGACAAAATATCAAACTGTGTTGTGAACTGTTTGTGTACTTTAACTGTCTGTTCCTCCTTAATATATTCCCAAGTCAAGGGCTCTTTCCTCTTATTTCTGATTTGGAAATCACTAAAACTTCTTGTTTACCCTCCTCTGTTATTTTTTAAACAGTTAAGCTGAATATGTTAAATATGAAGTTGTAACTTTTAAATTCCTGATTATATAATAGCTTTGACTATCCAATATAGTCAATGACACTGACTGTTATTTTTTATTAATTTAGGATGGGCAGTTCAGATTTAAGAATCCAATCGTCATCAACTTCACATCCTATGCCTTAGCACTGTAAATGATTTACGTACTAATTTAGTATTTGATTGTTTGAATTTTGAACAGTTTCCGTCTGTTTACAGGTCATATTCCCCCAGGACTTCCTACCATTGAGCCGCCTCCATTCTCCGTAACAAAGGGTAACGTGACTTACGGTTTTGTCGACATGGTCACCCAGATGGGTCAAGGAGTTATCGTCACTCCTTTAATCGCTTTGCTAGAGAACATTGCGATCTGTAAGGCTTTTGGTAAGTGTCGCTGTTAATTGATTTTAGCTATTTGAACATTTGGTGTTTGTTAAAAAAACTATTACTTTAATTGATGAGTTTATTAGAAATTTATAAATAGTCCAAGCTTGTATAGCAGTATAGCAAGGTCCCTGAGGCCCTGGGTTCAAATCCTGCCAATCCACAATGGCCTTTTTACAATCTTATGCTAACTCGACCCTCGAGCCTAGCCTGAAGCACTACAGAATGTACAGTCGAATATAGTATGTAAATCAGTTCCAAGCTAGAGCCTATCATCTTGTGATGGGAAGGAAAGACGAATAACTATTTTTTAATGCATTGATCAAAGAGCGATTGATTGTTTAAAGCAAGTAATTGATGAAGATTTCATGATGTTTCAGCCAATGGCAAGACTGTAGATGCTACACAGGAGTTGATAGCCGTTGGTCTCTGTAATATTGGAAACTCCTTCTGTCACAGCTTTCCCGGCTCCGGCTCTCTGTCCAGGAGTGCCGTCAACAACTCCAGTGGCGTTAGAACTCCTCTTGGAGGGCTCTACACCGGTAAGACTCCATTTTGGAGTTAGTAGCACTGTGTTCTTGTGCAAGATAAACAGCTGTTAAGCAATTGGACATAGACTTGAATGATATTCATTGTTATGAAGCGTTATTCGATTAATTGTGTGTAATATTGTTAAAACCAGTTGAAAAAATAGTTGTGTGTATTTTTTTTTAAATGCCCATGGCTATGCAAGTATAGTGAACGGAAAATGTTATCGGGAGATGATAAGTAACTACTTCTGGCAGCAGTTGAAAGAATAGAGTATAATGATCAACATGGCTTATCCAATTGTCATACGTCTTGAGAAACCGGATGCACACAAAGTTTCTCAGATGTTTAATCTCTCAGGTATAAGAATTAACGAGAGGGAGTCTTTAATTGTTTTCATTCCTTTTTTTTCTAGTAACCATTTGACAAGCTAAAGTAGTGATGTTTTCTAGGTATCCTAGTGATAGTTTCCCTGATGTTTTGCACTCCCTACTTCTTCTTCATCCCCAAGACAGTTCTTGCAGCAGTCATCGTAGCAGCTGTGGTGTTCATGGTTGAGGTCAGAGTAGTCAAGCCTATCTACAGGTCAAAAAGTGAGCGTTACTGTTACAATCACATTTAACTACACTAATTATTCAAACTCCTTCTTAAGTCAGGTCTTGACACACGCCTCATGTGCCTTCACTACCGTACTGTTGTCTGTACACTTGTCACAAGAGTATAGTATAGGCTTATTTAAAAACAATGTTGAACGGTCGGTTAATGTTTTATGTGATGTACTATGTGATAATAAGTTTTGATTTTCACTTTTGACGAACGGCACCTTTTTAGGCAAGATAAGTTTTAGTACGAAAATCTGATGATGACAGCTGAGCTGAAACCCGGTGTGTTGCTAGGGGTGACTCACCGGGGAGGCCTGTTTCCGGGGTCCCCTCCCGGGAAAAATTGACAAACAATATGCTGAAATTAACGTTTTTTACAATATTTTGAGGCATTAATATAACAAACCTAGCTCGATAATCCAGCATTTATAAAGTCTTAGTTTATAAAGTGGCTTTATGTCCGTCAATGTGGTCAGGTCAGGTTGCTTAGCTTTACAATAACCATTTAACTGTATTTTTTTTATCCATGCCAACTTTTCACATCCATTTATAACACCCGGAATATATGGTAAACTATTTTGAAGAATGCCTGATAACTTATGCCGTAAGAGCAATTTTGTTTGTTACATTATTGTTGAAGGCAAATGAAAACAAAATAATATCACAAAAAATAGGTTTATATTATTCATTATATTACACAAAGTTGTTAGTTTATCAAATCAAAAATCATTTATTCCACACACAAAAAATATGTTACAAAAATTATAATATAGGTACATAAAGGATGGTCCCCACATAGGCAAAGCCTATGCGTGGGGAACGAGTTGTATCAGTTCATTTACTACAGAATCTTTGATGTCCATTCAACTTCCAATCAATTTACAATACTTGATATTACTCTACATACCAATACATAATTAAAAAGGAAAAACACTTTCACCAGGGAGCTACAGAAGATAACTTAACTTAAAACCATTACATATTGTTATACATATCGTAAGAAATTGGTCTGTTTATTACTACTGTTGGAATTTTTTTTAAGAATAACTCAGAATCTAATGAAAAATTGAAAACATTTGTCAAAAAAAGTCATAAAAAATCTGTAAACTATCTTACTCATCTTTTCTCATACTAATAACATTTTTCTTGGATCTCAATTTTTTATACTTTATCCTGGCTTCTAGGGAGGGGGGGGGGCAGCTGCTCTGGGTACGCCCATGCTCTCACACCACATTACCTCTGACCATTGTTCTTTAGTCAATTGTTTGCCTAACGTCTCCCAGGTATCCAAGTTTTATCTAACATAATTGCGACTAACTGTCCACGCAACTTCTACCATTTGGTTGATTTTCAACAGTAACCGCACTGTTGCCTTTTCCTATATTGTTTAAATTGTTTGTTCCAGAGAGTGATTTGATTCCTGGCATCGCCACTTTCATAGCCTGCCTCGTGTTGAAGCTGGAGGTCGGAATACTCATTGGGATTGGTCTCAACCTCATCAGCATTCTCTACCACGCAGCCCGGCCCAAGATATCCATGGAGATTATGAAGGTATAAAGGCTTAACCTTTGTAAAACCTTGATGAAAGACAGAGATAATTTTGTTTGCCAGTGTTATAAAATTATTGACTTATCTTTAAATGCACATGAAGTGTATCCTATATGATGTGAGCCCTATTCAATCCAGTGGCGGTCTTAGAGATTGCGGGGCCCAAGGCAAAGTGCAATAGCGGGCCTCTCTTAAAACCTGAAATACGGCGGTACCTGGGGCCCAGCCACTGCCTTGTTCGCCTTTAGGGCTGCCTCTGATTCAATCAACCATCAGCGACAATTGACGTTGTAATTTATAGTAATGAATATTATATTGTTCTTGTCACTTGCAAAACATCCTTTTCATCTTTACGCTTAATCTGCTCCTTGTGTAGTGTTAAATGAATAACTTTCAGCAGCTGGACTATCACATTTGGAATCACTCCTCCTGGGCTCAATGGAAACTGATAGATGTCTGTAGCGGGCCTCGTCTTGTATATGTAAAATTTTTTATGAACTCCCTCATACTCTTACGCACATTTTTTTACAAATTTTTCTGTATACATCCGTATACTGGTGACAGACCTTAATAGAAGTTCACCCATTAGACCACATAAATCTAATCCCAGATACTATTTATTCTTGGCAAGAATGTTGATTTTCCCTTTCATTGTTATTGGCTACTGCTATGAGATACACAGAGGTTGGAACCAGATAAATGATGGTGAGCAAAAAATACAAGGTAATATTGGATTTGAGCTTGCTTGCTTTGTGTAGGAGCTCATTTGAGACTTTAAATTCAAAAAACCTTTGTAACTTTCAAAACTCCACCTCTAAACTTTGGAAGTCCACAGAGTATAACCCAAACGTACTTCAAGTTTATGGCATGTGTGTTATGTGAGTTATGTAAGTAAGTTATTGATCTAAAAATTTTAGCCCAGTCAAATCAGTAGTTTTTGCACTAGCCAGAAACAAAATAAGACATTCACCGCCTCAATTTAAAATATAAGAGATGCATTTTCTTGAGTATAGTCTGCAATTCAAAAATGAAATTATTGACTCCATAGAGCCATCACACCATTATTATTTACACCATTGTTTTTAAAATACTAATTGGCTTTTCAGTGGAATTTTACTTAATCAATTACAAATTTACTCTGTGGAATTTTACTTAATCAATTACAAATTTACTCTATCAATTCCAGAGTCGCGGAGGCGTCGAGTATCTACTACTCACTCCTGACCGTTGTCTAATCTTTCCCTCCGTGGACTATGTGAGCAATCTGGTGACAAAACACAGCATCAAGCAAGGAATCCCTGTGGTCATCGACTGCTCTCATATCTATGGAGCGGACTTCACTGCGGCCAAGGTAAAGCATGTGGAAGTTAGGTTAGGTTATTACACTAAGAGCAATTCACGATTATGGGGTTCCGTGGCCCGCGGTTATCGTTGTTCTCGGCCAATTTTAACCGACGGCCAAAAAATGGGTTCACGACATAGAGCGTTAGCCGAGATCAAGCTTAGCCGAAACCAACGCTGGCCGTCGCTCATGAGCAGGGATTAACTGGGAATTTTCGTTGGGAGGTTGGCAACAGCCTACGATATCAGGTATTTACTGATATCTTATAAAAGGTTATGGACTTGCACTTGAATTCATTTTATACTAAAGTTTAAGGTTACTCAATTTATCATTGAATTATGAATAATACACTTTTACTGAATACATAAAATCAGGAAAATGCAATTATGTTTTTAAAAAGTTTAAACAAATCTTGGTAATGTTTGCAATAAAATTTGATTACCAATTATGTTCATAAATAAGACATACTTTATCAGGTTTGCAGTTTTATCCAAACGTTCAAATTATTTAATAAAATGACTGCTCTTTTATGATTTATGAATATCTTTTATGTATCAGTAATTTGTATAAAAAATAAATTTGGAGCAACAACTGGCTATTATAGGAGCCGAGATGCCTTCATACGTAAACAGTAATTAACTTAAATATAAAATGGCAAACATACAATAACATTTTATGACACCAAGATCTTTTAAATCGGTTCACAATTGGGGCTACAAACAGCAGGCATAAGAACTAAACCCCTTAGAAAATTTGCGCGCGCCAGACGGGTAGAGCGCAGCCCTAAGCATGAGAAAACAGGTTATAATTTAAAAAATATTTTGTTGTCATACAACGTTTTGTATATTTAACTATAGAATTTATCTTTTACCTCAGAAAATTGAAGCAATTTATTGTAAATCCCGATATGAAAAATATTAAGACTTTATCAGATGAAAAGGTCTTTCTTTAACAAATGTTAAATCATATCTAATAATATAAACATATAATTTAAAACATACAAAGTAAAATTTGGTTACTTAGTTAAAATGACCTATGTTTTATATGAATTTTATGGAGGAACAAAAATTGTACTAATTTTAAACAATAAAAATTCTTAGACAAACCTAACAGTTTTTGAAGGAACCATTATTATTTTGATATTATTCAGCTGAAATAAAAGGATTCAAAATTGCTAAAATAAATATAAAACATTTACGCAATAAGATTCAGTTGCAATTTAAATTTATATGAATATGTTAAGCTATTAGTTATATTTTTACTTAGTAATAATTAATTAAAATGTCTCAACATTTACTTTTTACGATGTTTTCGGCAATCAGTAGTAAAAAATTTAAAAAAATAAATATCATGTTGAGGGTAATGAAATTGTTCGGAATTTAATGGCGAATCCGAATATATTCTTTTTTCTAACAAAAAAACAATAAACGAGCAAATGAGATAATCCCGACATGATGTCACCTTAACCCTGCCCCCTAGCAGGGTTAAGTTGAAGTCCAAAACCATTGTTATTTACGCCCGAGATTATCAAGTTTGCGCTAGACCATGACTGGTGAACCCGACATTTGGCCCGGGGTTTTCTCTAATTGAACCCGTGAAGCCGACTTTTTGCGCTCGGGTTTATCCCTGTCATAATTGGGTGAAGTTTATCTGTCTGCGCCCGAGCGCGGGTAACCTCGTACTCGTGAAGCCGATTTCTAAGCCGCGGCTATAACTGGATTTTGCGCTCGAACTAAGGATAACCCGTGACTCGTGCGCCTCTTAATATTTTACTCCATATTTTTCAGGTTTTCATTATGCACAATTTATCCAACATCTACAACAATTATAATGCATTAATACCTGTTCCTTTCACATTATGTACTTTACAAATCTGAAATTGGCTAAGAATTGGCTTTAGAAAATTATATCTATAAGGTAAAGCTGTTTAAAAAGTAGGCAGTATATACAGGAGACACCATTGTAGATATTTTTGAGAACTTGAGAGTTCATCTATGTATGGTAGAGCTGGGAAAAAATGGTTACCTAAATACACAAAAATTTCAGATGGTTATTATTAGGGAGAATTTGTTATAATTAGCATATTCAAACTGGCAGTTAACTATCACTTGCCAATCTTTGCTATGTTTGTGTTTAGTTTATGCATGTTTAGTAGCTAGTTTAGTATTTAGGCTAGTCTTTTAGCTCATTAGATGTGTGAAAGTCATACACTATATCTGATTTTACTTCTTGTCTGAAACTACAAGGGATTTTTCGCTAGGTTTTAGCGTGGAAATGTTATTACTTCTTACACATAACTTCAGGCTAGACCTAGAGGGTTGCTGCATTATATTACAGAAAAGAACCATTGGTTATTGGCAGGCTTATAGCCTGCCCTCTGAGACCGAATCCCTGCACTGTAAAACTAGACCAACTTTCTCCCCAAAACTACAAGGGTTAATATCATAAAATAAAAAAATAGAGTCCTTTTTTAATTGAGCAGCAAATTTCTTTACAATTAAGTTCCTCTTTACTTTATATACTCTGTGCACTGCTTTAAAATGATAAATGCAACGCAAAGTTACTTACAGGTAATAGAAATGTTGACCCAAGACTTTTCACGCAGAAGACAGCCATTGTTCTTCTACAATCTCAAACCAAGTGTTGTCGCAGTCTTTGAAGGCATCAAACCTAAAGACTTTGTAGTCTATTACAATGAACATCAACTGGACAACCTTCTTCTACAGCATACGTGAGTAACTGTTTGGTTAGTAGTTTCAACGCAAGTGGTATTTCGTAATTGAGAACATTAATAGTATAATTCACTACTATTCCCGAAAGTGACCCATTTCGAGGCAAGATAGTGGTTTAAACGAGCAAAGTGTCTCGCATGTTGACCTTTTAGAAAATATACCAATTTTGTATAGGTTTTTCATTTATGAGTATGTCTTCATAGGTTTTGAAAAATATCTTTATTCCAAAATGAGATTTTGGAATTTAATTAAATCTGAACAAGTCATTACTTTGTATTAGCAAACTTAACTGCTGACTGTTATTTAAATTTTTATTTCAAATGGGTGTGCCTACTCAACTGGAAATTTACTTATTTAGCATGTTTGCTTCGAGAGGTGGTTTAACTTTAACCCATCTTGTTAAAATGTTGAAAACACATTAGTTCACTTTTATCAATTACTTTGCTTACCTAGTTGTTCAGATAAAAACTAGATACATTAAGGACCTGTACTACCACTAAAAACTGGAAACATTCAAATTAATCCATTTTTGCGATCATTCAAATAATTCTATTCTATGTGTTTCCAGAGCCAACCTGAGAAAAATGGCAAACCTGAGGGACTTTAAAGCATGACGATAGAATTTTTGAAATTCAACGTGTGCATCCTAGCAACTTCCCTCTGAAGAAAAAGAAGAATATTAGTATCAGATCAAAATCATGTTTTAAACAGTTTCGTGGATTAGAAATATCTTATATATAATAAAACCAATTTGCACCTACTAGGAAAACTGTCGGTGCATGACAACTTGCAATATTTTCCTACATTTTAGAAAGCCAGTCATAGCAATCAATTAAGCAAGTACTTTAAAAATTTATAGTTTACATAAAATGTTAAACTAATCGGTACAAACCAAATATTTTCTCAAGCTGATTAAAATCTGAGTGAAACATAAAAGTAAGTTTTGATTCAATTTTGAATAATCATATCAATTAAAATTGAATTCAAAATTCAAGCCTTACGTTAAGATAAAGATAGAATAGATAAAAGACCCTGTGATAATGTTTTATGGAAGCATTTCTTATAGAATTCTATGTAACAATACTTATGCTTACACCCTAGTTTGTAGAAAACAAATTGTATTTAATGTACAATAACGAAGATGAAACATGAAACATCAAACTTTAATTAAATTACAAATAAACAAATAAAAAGGTCAAGTACCTGTTGTACCGTCAATTATCAGTGTTTTGTCTAGCGACTAAGGTTTTGAATGTAAAGGTTCATTTTCAAGCTGAAGTCCACCAAATGGTTGAACAAAATCCTCTTCATCCGTGGTTGTGAAGAGTCGTAATATATACCTAACACTTGTACAAAAACACTTAACACAAACTTAGCCAAATTGTACCGGTACTGAGAGTCTGTGGTGTGGTCGGCAGAAGATGACGATGACATTTTTCAACTAGTTGGTCTACTTCAGCTTCTAAATTAAACTTTAGGTTCAAAACAAAACCTTGGTTGCTAGGAAAAAAGACAGATAATGGACAGAAAAATAAATATATTATTTAACCTTCTTATTTGTAAAAAATATTGCCCAAAGGCTAAACATGTTCAATAAATAAATACAGTTATACAATTGGGAAACTGTGAACATATTCGAAAATATCTATAAATAGGATCATTTTTTTAACTTTTTGAAAGTGATAGTGTTATAGTAGACTCCCTCTTATCCGGACTCCTCGGGACCGAGGCCAGTCTGTACAACGGGTTTTCCTGTTAAGCCGACGTCCCCAAAAACTCGTTAAAACGGACCGTATACGGTGATATTAGACTTAAATTTAGGAGAGCATTGTATTTAGACACGTGATTACTGTACTGGTCTCAAATCTTTCTCAAGAGAACAGTCGTTTCAGCACCAGTCATATCCTGCCGATCTAGTCCGGTTAAACCAATGTGCTGATAAAAATTGTCCGGTTAAAGAGATATGTCATTTCCGTCGAGTGTAGTCCGGTTAAACCGATGTCCGGTTAAAAGGTGTCCGGATAAGAGGGAGTCTACTGCATTATATTTTGTCCTAATATAAAAAAAGTATTTAATAAGCTGTTTATACTAATAAGGTATTAAATTAGATTCTATTTTAGATTTTAGGTACTCAAGTTGTGTTTAAAATGTGTTTAAAAGAGTAAAATTTTGTCCAGTAAATAAATGTATTTTAGTACGTTTTATGTTTACTTCTTACCTTCTTATCTTCTTCCTAATATAGTGTTATTTTTACAGCTTTTGTTTACAGGACTAATATTAGGAATTTAATTTCCAAAAAGGTAATTGACATTGATTTACAAAATCTCGTGTTGGTTTTTTGCTGGTTATTGGTTTTGGTTAATTTGTGACAAACCTGATAATTTAAATGGTTAATATCATAGCCTCCTCTATTTTAATCTTACTAATATTATAAATGTGAAAGTTTGTGTGTTTGTTTGAAGTTCAATCACACTACTGGTTGGATTGGGTTGAAATTTGGTATGGAGATATCTCACATTCCCGATTAACATATAGACATATTCTTGTATCTAAAATCCTTTCAGGCTCTACCCCAGTGGCTCTGTAGTTTCCCATGTTAACCTTATGAGTATCTATAATATTAAAACGTGACAGGGTTTTTTTATTTCACGATTCTGAATTAACCACTTTTGACGGATTTTTATGGTTTTTGTGTTGAAATTGAAAGAAAGATAATTTTGAGAACTAGTGAATGTCGAAGCCATAATTTTAGTTTAGGGTTTCAATTTTTTAGAAATTAAACTTTAATTTTCAAAAAGTCTAGCAGCCGACGCTAACATTCTAGACTAGCTTTTGGCATAATATCATTTGCTTAAAGTAACAGCAGTAAACATTAAGCGTGTGTGACACAAATTCAGCATTTGGATAATAATGGCATACATAGAGTTGATTTTTGATTTATTAATACTATGTGTAATGCTATACTCATTGATATGTTCATTTAATCGGTAAGAGGATGAAAGATTATTTAAATATGCATGGTAAAATGCTAGATGTTCTAATTTATTTTTAGAGCAGTCTTTAAAATTTTAAGTTTGTTTTAGTGCAATATGATTTGTTTTAACTAACGGCTGGTTGAGTGAAAAATATTCTATAGAACTATGAGGTTAGTTTATTTACTCTCTGATTTTGTCATTGATTATAGGAAATAAGTAAGATTCTATGACCATCGCTGTATACGAATCGAAGCTCACGAATCTTCAAAAAAAAAAAGCTTATGAAAATTATTTTACTACTTACTCGACTTTTTGGGGAAAGGTTGGGATAGTAACAATGAGGTTGGGATTGTTTTAATTCATCTTGGCAGCTTTTTCTCTACTGTAATTTTTGAACTGCATAAACTATGCTTGAATTAGTAATATAGACACACTATATACAGTTTTAATGGACTACTCTATTCCCGTACGTAGGACGGGCCAACAGCTCGTTCATATTTAAAATGAATTAAAGAATTTTGTCAGCCGTTTCAAACACACAAGTTGGTTCTATGATACTAATAGCATTAAAAAATTATAAGTTTTACCAACAGGGTGCAGCACTATTAAGTGTTTTTGCATTTATGACAACAGCTAATTTAAACCAACTAGCAACAAAAAGCTGTGAAATACAAAGAGAACTTAACTTTTTGTTTTTTCTATTGTTTAGGTGCAGTGGTAGAACATTATGGCTATGGTAGATGTGCTATACCATAGCATACCGTAAATTAAAAGAACCAAATTTTCTTAAACCGTGTCCTCCCATTTGTTTTCCCATTGCAAACGTAAAGCCAAGTATAACTGCAATAAACATTTTATACTTGACGCCAACCCCATACGAAGAACGGGTACTCTTCTAGTGTTAATACTGTATACATTTGAAACACAACTAACCAGTAGGATTTATTGCACACTCTGTGATTAAGGGCAGCAGAGTCCAGTTTTGAATCACTTTTGGCTTTTCTCAAGATCAACTGACAATCCACGGACTACTAAGCAAAAACTACATCTTCTCAGATACCCAACTACATTTAAATTCTACTTTGACTTTCAAAGGGTGTGAAAATAAATACACTTTAAACAAAAAAACAATACACTTTAATTATGAAAAACATACCACAAGTAAATAAACAAATACAAGCTATTCTAGTGTCTTTATAGAGTATTGGCGCACCAGTAATTGGTAACTCGTTAGGAATAGAACAGACTTGGAACCACAGTTCAAGGCAAAACCCGTAAAGGCAAACATTTAAAAGGATATCTGTTCTAGGGCGATACAGAGGCAGAAAAATAACGCTAAGTAAGTAAAGTAATGCTAGGTTAGGTACCATGGGCTTACAGAAGATCGTCAACGGAACAACTTTAGCGAGGAAAATACTGATCTGAATCACGGTTTTGGTAGAGTCGTATAATTAACAAAGGCAACAGTAATCTTATTTTGTAAATAGTAATAGTTTTAATACCAGCTTCATAAATTGTAAAGCCATGTAACAATTTTAGCAATTTTAGTTCTGAGCAAAAGTGACTAAAGCTAAATGTACTGATTAAGTTCTTTAAACAGTATTCTAAGCTAATAATTTTCTTCTGAAGAAATAAAGATAGTTTTAAAAAATTAAATAATAAAGGACTTGAAAGCAAGATATTGTAAAAAATTAAATCTTCAAAAACAGTGAAATACCTAAAAATGTAAGGTTTTGAGACATATTCCTAACTTCCTAAGGTAACTAAATTGTTGATTCCCGGCCAAGTTGAGTACTTTAGAAGAAATAAACTCTAGAATGTTAGTTCTGAGAGTTTTATAATGTTCTTAGAAAGAGCTTGAGTGAGAATTTGTAAAAAAGTGTTCAACAAAAAAAGGAAAAAATATAAAAGTAATAAAAAAGCTAGTGGAACTTTACAACAAAAAACTTATAAATAAATTTAAGTTAAATAAATGTACACAATAGCATTAATATTTGTCTTTAAAAGGGGGAAACTCTTATTTTATAACTCTACTTATAGTTAAAAGATCACTGCAACAAAATAAGATTTCTAAGATTTACGGCAATAATTAATTAATTTGAAGGCAATAGTTACGAATAATTTGTATAATTATTGTACTAACTCTCCTCCCTACTAAGTTTGACCTAACTGATTCTAAAAATATTTTGATCTCTAGCATAAAACCACAACTGAACAATTATTTTCAATTTACTATTGCTTATATATAAAAGTCTTGTACTTGTCTTTTTCACCAAAACGAATTTCAACAGCTTAACCCAAAATCATTTGATATTTTCTCTATATAATACGGAACAACTTATCAACGTATAACAAATCAATAAAATCAAGTTGTAGGCCTAATCAATTCCTCAAATTTTCACCTAACAGATAACACTATACAGCTAGTATAAAAGGTGGGTACTAATGATATATTGCAGCAAGAAATCCTTATATTTACAATTTTGTTTGAATTTTATAAAAATATCCAAATATTCCCATGAAATACTTTCTTGATAAATATTCCTGAGAATTCCCTTTTAATTTTCCTACTAGTAATAGAATCAGAATCAAGTCTCAAAGTTAACATTTCTAAGAATAACAATATCATATATTATACTTTTATTAACAAGTTGTAGCTTAAAGAGGAGTCTTAATACTTGAAAAATGGATGGACACAACACAAATTTGGCAGCAACCAATACAATTCGGGCGGATTCCAAGGATGAAAGACGCTTCGGCTGAAAAAAAAGAATATTTTTTATGATTAACTTGTAAAACATGAATCAAGTAATTAAGTGAAGTAATTGAATAATCAATTAATTAAGTAATTAAGTTTTAAGTAAGTAAGTTTACAAATTTTTGCCTACACTATTTTTTTTTTATATAAATTGAGAAGTGACCATATTGTGTTTTCCCCAAACCTACAAAAACTTATTTTCTGCACTTGTAATTTACACATTCTCTTATCTCTTTCACACTTTTTTCCACCTTTTCCTGCCTTTCAATTTTCATTCAACATACAACATTATCAAAATTCAAAGAAAACAACAGATACAAATTGAAATCAAATACATTGATTAACACATAAAATAACAATACAACCTATATTAGATGCACTACACATCTTTTCTATGTCAGTTGTTTCTAAATGACCAAACATTGGACCATACTTTTGACAAAAAGTACTTGTGTTATTATACTGGGTGTCCCAGAAAGGATTGCACTTTTATTTTGGGGAAAGCTGAATGTCAAAGAGAGATAAGATAAGGAGCTTATCAGGGCTTTGTAGCCATGCCGTGGAAAGTCATTTGCCATGGATCCCTTTACCAGTGAGCAGCGTTAGCATACTTTCTGTGAACGCGACTATTACCAAACGCTTTCTTATGTGACAGTTCGACGACACTTCCGCGCTCAATACAGACTTCATGATATTAACCAAACGCCATCAGTGAACATAATTAAATGCTGGGCGCGCAAATTTGAAGCTACAGGATCAACTATAAAACCTCGTCCCATCGGTCACCATAGAAAGCGCGTTCTGAATCAAATATCGAGCGTGTTTGAGATGCTGTGGAGGATAATCCACATTGGTCAGTAAGAAAACACTGCTGCTTTGAATATACCCCAAACCAGTATTCACCGCATTTTGAAACAAGATTTATAGTTACACCGGTACAAAATTCAGTTAGTACAGGCATTAAAAAAATACAGCATGGGTATACAGCAGGAGACTCCCTGACTGCAATAAGGCAGCTGTTTTGTGGGAAAGTCATTTCCAGATTTTGTGACACCAATATTTTCTTTGAGAAGCCCATACCTAACTCCACTAGGCTTTTTTGTGTGTCTAGTCGGGTGTACAACAACGCTCCTGCTACCCTCGATTATCTGAAGCCAAATGTTCGTGAGGAAATTGAAGCCATCCCACCAGAACTCTGCTGTAGAGTATTCGGAAATGTAAGGTTTCGTTTGGCGGAGTGCCGGCGCCTTAACGAAGGGTCTAGATGTAAGGGTCTACATCTGGATGATGTAATCTTTCACAAGTAATTTCCTTAAAGTGTACAAACAGGTATTCTTGGGAAAATTGCTGTAAATAAAGCCATTTTCCTGTTTTGTTTGTTTTAAAAGTGCATTACTTTCTGGGACACCCAGTACTTTCTTTGCTAAATTTGAGGTATATTTATCATTTTCGCTTTAGTGGAGCAATATTTTTCAGAAAAGAGATATTCTACCACCTTATATCCTACTTCCCTACATTCCTGTCTGTTCAGCTATTCCTGCTACTCACCGGGGATTAGTAAAGACGTTGTCACCGTCCGATGATTGTAGGTTCGTCTGCCATTGCAACCTCCTCGTTCGGGGCTTTGTCCCTTTTGCGTTTTTTACTGTACCACATAAAGGCACAACCTGAACAACATACAAATTTACTATACACATAAAAACTTGACCAATCAAGTTATTTAGTACCGGTGGTCTATAGTCTTGAAAAATATTAGTTAGGCTATAAAAACAAACTAAATAATGGAACTGTTTCAATAAAGTTTCGCTGATCCAAATTATTTGGGACCAAACTCTTTTTGTATTATTTAAGATATATAGGACAAAAATTTAATTATAACTCGAGAAACTAATAGGTTGGTGGCTTAATCAGTAGTGTCATGGACTTAAGGCCCAAGGCAGCGATGTTGAGGGTTCAGAACCTAGTACCTACACTACTTCTTATCAGTACAGTTCACCCTTGTACTAGAACCGGCTCACCCCTTGATTTGATGACACCATTCCACCCACAGGTCAGTCTGTGGACGGGCATAGAAATGCATGGTTAAAAGCCGCTGCTAACCTCTTTTTATAAAAAAAAAAAACATAATGTGAGAAATACCAACCTACAATTATTAGCAACTCAAACCACTTACCAGCAAATAGATTAAGAAGGAAGACAAACCACGCGAGATGGTAGCTCCAGCCGTAGTGGTAGGTGGCCTTGGGTGGATGTACCACTGGGAGGAACTCCTTCTCATACGTGATGGACTGCATTAGGATCTCTATCACTACGAATATCGACAAACCTGCAAAACAACTGACCATGAGACAAGAAAAAGTATCTTATATAATAAAACCTTGGTTGAAAAAAGGATGGGGGTCAATTCAGACTTTTTTTGGTCAATAGTAGGAATTCAAATGTTATTTCTATTTCAGGAACTCATAGTAACTAACAGAGGTCTATCAGAACTACGGTATCAAAAGTCCATCTGACAGTTGTATAGAAGTAGATAAACCACCTTGAGATTTTGTGTTCATTAAAATTGTATGTTTTGAAACGGAATTTGTTTTAAATCACAATCCTGGTAAATTAGATTGAGGATTACAAAAGTAATTGTTACAATTAACGAGAGCTGAAGACAAATAAGTGGAACACTGAAAATAATTTAACTTTCCAGAACAAACCACGAGAATTGTCTCGTACAAACAACAGTGGTTCTGTCATCAACATTAACCCGTACATTACGACTGCCAAGATCAAAAGCACACTTTAGTCTCGGTCTTCTTCATGTTATTTACGTACTCACCACTTACATTGTGTGGAAAGTCGTTAGTGGCCGTCTATTTTGGCCACCTTAAAAGTGGTTGTGAATTTAGGGAATCTGAATTGGTTTATTTCTCAGTATTGAAAACCTATGGTTACTAAATTTAGTTCAAGAATATTTAATCAAGAATTTGATTCATCTTAACAATCAGGTTTTCCAATATAGTTTCTGAACTTATATATAGATAGATATTTTATAGCACATTGTTATTCTATTCTAACTTACAAGAGATGAAGTGTATGCCGCCAGCCAGTCTTTTAAATGTGTACCGAGGATTGTTGAATGTGTAGATGGAGAAAAACAAACCCATCGTCATCACCAACAAGCTGATTATGGAGAACATAATCTCGGTACGGGTGTAGTCTGGAAAATACAAAACATACCTTTAGAAAAAAGCACATGGTTGAGGGAAATGTTTAGTATAAATATTTTAATAAATTGCTAATAGTAACTTAACCAATAAAAAAGTTCCTAACAGTTGCCAGTGTAGAAACAATACAAAACACTAGGTTTAATATTTTCCTCTACAAAAGAGGGCATCCATGAAGGGGAGGAATATAAAACCATTTGTGCTGAGAGCTTTTTTGTGTTATCAACTATCTGAAGTTCTTTTTCTTGGTCAAGTCAGTTGTGTATCCATTCCTTCTTCCTTAAAATATTCCAAAACCACCATTTTTGGGTTTTACCATAGTTTATAAATCCTTGCACTTTTTATTTACAAATTAACAAAAATACTTGCGGAGCAATCGACATGGTCCCTCTCACTAAACACTACTGAAATATCAGCCGTACTCCAATTGAAGGTTTGAGTTACGATGAAACTAGTGTTAATCAGACTAAGTTCCAGATACATTACTAAGATAAACTAACTTAACAGCTGCATATGTTTGATTGGATTGTATTTCAGCATATTTTGAGGTACTAAAGTTTCACATGAACAATAAATTCAATAATCAACTAGGCCCAATATACTCACTAAGGATAGCCATATCTAGCATGGGATCTCCTTTCACTTTGGTATCGCTAGGAAAAACATCGTGCCACTTGCATTTACCTATAACAGCCAAAACGTACATTACAAACATTTGGTTAGCACTTTATAGTGACACAAATTTAACATGATTATTAAAGACACTTTATTTGAATATTGTACAATACTTTTCCTATTTTGAATTCTGAAACGTAATCTACTTTCGAAACTGCCCCTATATTTATTGATAGCCTTTTTTCATACCACCTCAACAAATATGTTCACTGTCCATTTACACTTTCTAAACGTTTATTTTCTAGAGCTGTACACCGTTTCCTGTTAACTGTTTTCAAAGAGCCGCTGAAAAACAAGTGATGAATGATGGACATGCTACAATGATGACTGGCAACTCAAGGTGATGTTTTTAAAATAACTAGCTTTGCTCTTTAACATCTTAGAAAATCTCAGAGATTCTGGCAGTTATTGATATGTAAAAATGAACAGATTATCAGTAAACACAAGATTTTTACCTTTATTTGAAGCAAAAAGTGTTTAGCTATTTAAAAGGCTAGACATATAGTTTTGCCTTTTGCTATAAGCAGTCACTTATTTTCACAAAACTAGATACTATTGATGTCACAACTTAGGTGGTAAATGCTGATCCAAGAACCTTCAAACAATTTCAAAATATAAAAAAAAACAACCATAAACAATCTATTTTTGACTGGGAAAAGTTATCATGTTGTTAAAACCTCATCTATCTTCATAATTTTTCTCCTGTTGATTGATTCTTAGCCTCAAGATATTGACTTTTAACAGTTCACATAAACCATTTATGGGAAAACTCTACGAAACATTATTGTCAGGCATGAAATTTATGATACAATAACTCTAACTTAAAATAGCTATGTTCTGCAGTGCAAAAAACAGAGATCAAGTATTGTGCACTAAAACATTGACTTGGATTTCAATTTGTGTTTGAAACAATGTTTTATGAGGCTAAAATAGTCTTTAGAAAAATGAGCAGCCTATACAACTTTCATAGAGTAGATTACAAATTTACGATGGCCACCAAAGTTTTATATTTATTTAAAGTATTTCAAAAATAATAATCCAACCAAATTTTTTACATAATATAGAGTACCACTATGGTTAAATAATCGATTCTATAATTTTCATTAAGGTCCAATGTCGTAACAATGTGAAAATTTTCCCATTCTTTTAGTAAATAAAATCTATTTCATTCTTGTGGTAACACTTTGGCACAGTGAAAATGCTATTACATTGAAATGCAACCAAACAACTAACATTATTTCACTAGAATAATAAATATATTTCTTGGGTGGTCCTCATAAGAGATCTGACTAACTCTGTATTTGGATTTGCTTTCCTAAACTTAAACTGATGGTTTCAGACATTTTACAGTGTAATTCCGACGTTCTTGGAAATTTGCTTTTCTTTTCTTAAAGGTTGGCCATCTGCAGTTGAAGCTAAAAAGATGCTTAACACTTTCATTCAAAGAGTTTTCATGTCTAATTTATGTTGCTCCAAAGGCATGGAAGATACTTTTGAAAAAGAAAATTTTTTATTAGATTATATTCAAAGTCAGTTGATAATACTCCTAAAGAAACAGATGTACCCTTTTCAGTTTGCAAAGTAAGCCAAAATATTTCCTATGAATTTCATCCAAGTGGAAATAAAAAAGGAATACAGTTTACCATTATAGCGTTAACTAAAACTCAAAACCTTTCTGGTTAAAAAATATTTATCAGTGAACAAAACATTATCATTAGGTAATTAGTAAAATTTCATAAATAATCTTCTTCAATCTTTTTTAGGGTATTTATTGATAATACCCATTTATGTGTTAAACACACTGCACTCCCTTCTACAATATTTATAAGTCTATTTCAAAGTTTGCATTGCCCCTCGTAAAGTAGCCAAGTCGCACAGTGTGACGAAGGTGTTGAAACGCCCCGTGGCGCGGCCGTCAAACACTCAGACATACAGACCTGACAGGTGTTTAGGCAAGACTCCAAAAGAGCTATTGTCGTCCAGTCAATGACCGTTTGTTTTTCTCACCTCGGAAAACAACCTGGGAGAGTGTTTTTGTATATGAGTGAGGGCCTGTGCGCAAAATCACACATTTATATGAAAATAAAAATTCCTCCACAGCAACAAACAAAGTTTGCCATTTTATCTGATTGGATTTTTACTAAAATAATGCGTTAAACTAGATTTATTCTCTATTTAAATATCCTTAGGTATTTGGGTTTGCTGCTACTAGGGAGTGTTTTTTCTGCAAAATGTTAATAGTATAGTATGAAATAAATAAATTTGCCAATAAATATATAACTACAAACAAGAAACTTTTACTTTTTCTATAAGAAAAACATTATAATTTTAATGTTCAGTTTCTGAATTTTCTCTGTAACCTTTGATAGTTTCACAACAAAACTTCAATACATAAAATTAGGCCTACTTAGTTTTTAATATCTTTAAAGAGGCAGTGATACAAATTTGGCATGTGTATGTTTCAAGGTTGAAAATTTTGATTTAAAAAAATGTAAACCCCATAACACTCTGTTCCCATGACCTTGCTGGTTCGCGAACTCATTCAAGTGTATTCAGCCCCACTTGTTCATGCCACATTTCGACATTTCAAAATCTGACCAAAATCACCTGAGTTATTGCGTTTACGGGCACACACAAATACATATAATATATGTATTTGTTATATTACATTATATTACATTAATGTACATAAGAGGATTTTACAAATAGAATGGATGTAATTGTTTAAATTAACACGTTCACTGCTAATGACGCACTTGTGCGTCATAAGTATATTAGCAGATATATAATACATGATGTATATAATTACATAATATATTTTAATCCACAATTTATAGTATAAAATTTATTTAATTAAAGATATATTGTCACTCAATTAACATGATCATGTTAATGTTTATGTTTTTTAGCCATTTATAAAAGTATTACATATCATTAGCAGTGAATGTGTTAAGTGTTGAAGATTCAGAAGGGCCAGAAATGTACTGAGAAGGGGTGAGGTTGACTGAAAAAAGAATGAAAGAGCAATTCTGATGGAAGATGACAGCCAGGAAGACCTAAGCAGAAGTGGTAGAAGCAATTAAGGGCTGATAAGGTGAGAATTGGAGCAAAAAATCCGGGGGGTAGAAATGCGGGGGGTAAAATTCCGGGGGTAAAAATCCAAGCCGTACATTTTGAGCTGACCTCATGAAGGGGGTAAAAGTCTGGGGGTAAGATGCAGAGGACCGAATATCATGGCCTTTTATTTTGTTGATGCCCCGTTAATGCCAAGTCTGATATAAATGGTTCTGGGAGTAAGAGTATAATAATGTTCAACAAATAGTGTTTTGGCCTCTGAGACCACCAAAATGAAAATGTCAATCAGTCCCGGGTCTAGGTCTTACTGTGCCACTTTTCCTATTTCTGTTCCAATACTATCTTCTTCCCTATCAGGAATTCGCTAAAAAAAAAACAATTCACTGTTTGTGTTAATGATCTCAGACACCCAAAGACATCAAATTTGAGCCATAAATTCAATTCAAAAACCTTGGATTACTCGATTGAGTTGACCTACCCGAGGCACCTTACATAATTAACGCATGACTAGACATTTAAATCCCCATCACCTCAGCACTGAGACTTGCAACTTCAAACATAATTTCAAACAACAAAGTGACCACTGTATACTAACGATAGAACAGCATCCTTGGACTGGTCTCTGTCCCGTTCCCCAGTGGAGTGGCTGTCTCCTCCACCGAGGGGTCTACTGTTGGCGCAGTCGGAGGTTTGGGTGTCGTCTTACCACCTGCAGTGGCATTACCAATCGCCATCCTACAAACAAGATATCATACAATTATCCATATTTGTATCCCCAACTAAAGGATCAACAACTGCAGTAATACCTACTTATACCTTCTCCTAATGAAATTTCATTCTATAAAGTTTTAAAATTTCATAACATCAGTCAGAAAACGGGAAAATTTCTAAAAGTTATGCTTTTACCATTTAGTAACATAAATGTAAACAGAAATAGGCACGTGCTAGTTTAGCTGAGTTTTTATTAGTGCGTGTTTGTGTAGGAGTCATTCCAATTTTTCAATTATTTTTCTACCCTGCATCACCTGAATACTTTTACACTTTGGCTGAACACATTATACTTTTTTACAATTCTTGGAATTGTGTGCATGCCAGAAAATGCTAGTTTCAGTACTTAAAATAATGAAGTATACTATCCCAGTTCAGTAGTCTCCACTTTTAAGCGCTTGCTTGCCAGAAACTAATTCCTAAAATCTTTTCAACTTTCTTATGAATTTGTCAGTAAAATATTCCCATGTGCAGTAATGTAATGTGAGTTACTTTAGATGTTGAAATAGTGTCTAGCTTGTTTGGTATTTACCTGAATACATTATAATTTTTTTCTATAATTAGCAAAAAACCATACCAGACCTGTGAATTAAAGATTAAAGCAAATTAAAGGAATTAAAGTCATCTTCAAGCTACCAGTACAGTAATAGAAAATAGGTCTGGACCGCTCACTATATCCGCAATATATAGCCCACCTCGTCATAACGTCACTTCCCAAAATTTTACAGACTTTTTTAATACACTTGGCCCCAGGTTCTTAGCAGGTGGAGACTACAACGCAAAACATCCCATGTGGGGCTCAAGACTAGCTAACCCAAGAGGTCGACAACTATTGACATCAGTCACCAATAACAATTTTCAGTTTATATCAACAGCTGAACCAACATATTGGCCCACAGATCCTCAAAAAATTCCTGATTTGTTAGATTTCTTTATTACAAAAGGAGTTGGTCAAAACTATATTGATGTGAAAGCAAGCCTAGATTTGTCGTCAGACCATTCGCCAATTATTGTCACCTAAGTTCGACTGTTGTGTGTAAAGAACAGCCTCTTAAGCTGTTTAATAAATCTACTGACTGGGACATATTTCGAGACAGAGTAAATGAAGAGCTTTCTCTAAAAATACCTCTTAAAACTCCAGATGACATTGATGACGCTGTAGAAAATTTTAACAATGTAATTCAACAATCTTGCTGTCAAGCGACTCCTAATATACAAAACACAGGAACCCATTTAACTTCCTACAACTATCCATTACATGTAAAACGGAAAGTTGCTGAGAAGAGAAGATTAAGAAGAATTTGGCAACAGACTAGAAATCCAAGAGACAAAACTAAATTTAACAGAGCAACTCAAGAACTTAAGAGGGATCTGAAAAATTTAAAGAATGAATGGTTTTCTGAATATACAGGTAATTTGTCACCTGATAAAACAACAAACTACTCTTTATGGAAAGCTACTAGAGGGATGAACCGTCCAAATATCCTGATACCGCCTATCTCTAAGTCCGATGGAACTTGGGCAAGAAACGATATTGAAAAATCTGAAGTGTTTGCAAACCACTTGGCCGCAGTGTTTACTCCCAATCAAAATCAAAATAATAATTTTAATAATCTTGACGAAATTCTTGAGTTCATTGACTCACCAAATCAGTTATCACCTCCAATAAAGCCCTTTACTCCCTCAGAAGTCTGTAAACTTGTAAACAAATTAAAACTGTTTAAAGCCCCTGGATACGACTTAATCACGGGAAAAGTAATGAAAGAGCTTCCTAGAAAAGCATTCATATACCTGACACTCATTTTTAATTCAATTATACAGACTGAGTATTTCCCGTCACAATGGAAAGTTTCAGAAATAATCATGATAGCAAAGCCAGGAAAACCACCCCAACAAGCAAGTTCATATCGACCTATCAGTCTACTTCCAATAACATCCAAATTGTTTGAGAGGCTCTTCTTGAATCGTCTACTTGAAGAAGTAGAGGACAGAAACTTGATTCCAAATCATCAGTTTGGGTTTCGACGGGAGCATTCCACAGTTGAACAAGTACATAGATTGGTTAATACAATTAAAGAAGACCTTGAGAAAAAGAACTATTGTACAGCTGTCTTTATCGATGTAAGTCAAGCCTTTGACAAAGTTTGGCACACAGGCCTACTTTATAAACTCAAACTGAATCTTCCTCATACATTTTATATGACAATTAAATCATACCTAACCGACAAATATTTCAGAGTTAAATTTGGAGATAGCATTACAAAATTGTACCCAATTCAAGCTGGCGTTCCCCAAGGAAGTGTTCTCAGACCTGTACTATATACTCTGTTTACAGCCGATCTACCTGAAAATGTGAATACTTCTGTGGCCACTTTTGCTGACGATACAGCTATTTTAGCGTCCCATCCTGATCCAGTGGTAGCTTCACTTAATCTTCAAAATTCCCTAGATGACTTAGAAGAATGGTTGCAAACATGGAAAATAAAAGTGAATGAGAGCAAATCTACTCATGTGACCTTCACTACCAGATTAGGTACTTGTCCTCCTGTAACCTTAAATAATGTCCAAATTCCGCAATCCCACGATGTGAAATATCTCGGCATGACGATTGACAAAAGATTAACCTGGAAAACCCATATCTGGAATAAAAGAATGTACCTAAATTTAAAATTTAAAAATCTTTCCTGGCTCCTAAATAGTAAATCAAAATTGACCATTGCAAATAAATTATTACTATACAAAGTAATACTGAAGCCAATTTGGACTTATGGAATCCAACTGTGGGGAACGTCCAGTATGTCGAACATAAACACTATCCAACGATTTCAGTCAAAAGTTTTAAGGTTCATTCTGCAAGCCCCGTGGTATGTTAATAACAATATCCTTCACAAGGACAGTGGAATTCCCACGGTTGAAGAGGAAATAACCAAATTTAGTGCAAAATATCTAAAGAAACTTGAAAATCACCCTAATCACCTGGCTCTAAACCTCTTGGACAACAGCACCAGTATATACAGGCTAAAAAGGATTCATGTTTTGGATCGAAGCACACGTTTTGTTTGAACAATTTAATTTTCCCTTGTTTATTTACATATTTATGTTTTCATTGAAATATTTTTAAGTTAGCTCTGTCAATGGACAGAGATTAACTAACGTTTTATTAAAATTTGTTATTGTATTTGCTAAATGTTCTAAAAATGAACAGATTGTAAATAAAATTGTGATAAAAAAAAAAAATGTGAGTAAAAATTAGCCTAAAATAACAATTCTATGAAAACACCATACTTCTACATATTTGCACCAATTTCTTAGTCGGATCTCATCCAAAATCAACATTGAGATGAGAAGACAAAAACAGACGATGCGATGAAGAGCAAAATGAAGAAAGGAAGAAGATAACAAAAGCTAATTTAAATGACAGAATGAGCCGACACTTGGCGATCTAGGTGGAAATAGTTGTGTGGCGGCCAAAATAGTTGTAGAACAGAATAGACCCTCACACTACGTCTTTGTTTCTGACAATCTTATCTCCAAAGCAAACATTTGTATCTAAATATTTTTGTTGCAAATCTTGTGGCAACATTTGTTACATTTATCACAACTTCTGCTCAGAATGATATTTTCTTTTAGCTTTTGTATTCTTTACTTTTTTGTGTTTCAATTTATGGTGAGAACATTTCCACTACTTGAGCCATATTTGTTATTTTGGGTATCCTCCCATCACTCTATTCTAATTTGAAAAAAAACGACAAATCTTTCTAAGTTTCTCAGACTTTGGTGCAAGTAGGACAAATTCAATCCCTGGCAAATCTACAAAGATTTGAGAGGTTTTGAACACAAAATTTCATCAAACAACTCACCTGCAATATTTAAAAAGGCCAGAGTGACTTCGCACGAAGAAGCGTTTCGTCTCATTTATCCAGAGGCCTTTCTCGCCTCCGTCCACCACGAACCAGAAGTCGGTGGAGATGGAAGCGATCCACACAACGATGGCGACACCCACCAGACATGTGCAGACAAACAGTAGACGTCGCTCAAAGAAATACTGAGCCCGGACAGCTTTGGTGCGCTCGGATATCACCGAAACTGCACTGCTTGCCTGCGGAACAGAGAGTGTTGAATGTAATTTCTTGTAAGAAAAAGAGAATAAAGAAAAAAAAATTGTTCTTTTAGTAGCTTGGAAGTTGTAAATTGAAAATTGAGACACTTAACTTTTATCCGATAAATACACTTAAATACTCAAAACTTCCGATAAATATCCTCTTGGAAGAAGTGCAGACTTCAGGGTACAAAAGAAAAGACCAGGAACATGTCAAACGTACTTAAACTTCTTTGTTTAATGTTTGTTTTTGGTGTTGGTGAGTTGATATTATTTTAGAGACTATTGCGGGCATTTTCCATCAAGTTTAGCAAGAAAATAAGTTTCAATTTTTGGTTAAGGAGTTGTAAACATGAGAGTCCAATAGTAATAGTATCGAAGAAGAAGAAGGGTAGGATTTCTTTATGAATATACCTAAACAGTTCCATTTGGAACAGTATGGTTTTGTTAATAAAAGTTTGGAAATGCGTTGGTGGACTGAATATTTGGAGGAAATAATTAGGACTGGTACCCACAATGAAAATAGAAATATTTCCAAAAGTGAAATAGATTACTGGGATAGGGTTGTGCGTGTGCGTGGAAAAGGGTTAGAATTGGAAGCGTTGTTTAATATTTTTATCTTGCAACAATGAGCATTAGTTAAGTGAGGAAAGTGAAGAATAGATCAGTTTAAAGATTGAAGGTGGTGGAGGAAAACTAAAATATTGTGAGTAATTAATATAACAGTCAATAATTATCAGTATATTAAACAAACACTGTGTGATTGAAAGACCCTTGAAATGTTTCAAGTAATGTTAACAAGCTAAAAATGCATTTCACTATTCCCTAAAAACCAGCTTTGCAACATAATCAGAGTTGCCAGTTTTTTTTTATCAAAATTGCCAGAGTTAATGTGAGCCACCTCTGACAGATTGCTGATGTAAATTACTAGATTTCTGTTGAATACACAAACTTCTTTGCCAAGGAAAACTAATGGAACAACTTATTGTGAGCTATAGCAACTGTTATTACCCATCAACTATTTCATCAACAAAAAATAAGACAAAATGTTAGACACTAACACATTCTGTGACTGGCTCACTCCACTAAATCCAAATATTTATTCTTCCTAACTTGAATAAGAATTTAAAAATTATCGCCTCAAATAAAAAACGACTATCCTTTATTTAACTCGCATCTCAAGTCTTGATGGTATAAATTCATCAGCACAAATGTGTTGCCAACCCACAAACTATGACGGAACAGACAATACTGCCAATTTTACAGACGATAATTATGAAGGGGAAATTTGATATTGCAAACATTTAGAAAACAATTTTCATTGGTAATTTTTAATAGTGTTAACCATGCCTGATGCATGGTTAAATTTAAAATGCTGACACAGCAGGGTGATTATTTTAACGTGAAGTTACATTACATTACACCTTTGTTACTGACTATTAGCTGGTTCTGAGGCCACAAACTTTATAATTAAAATCCCAATGATCACGGATAGCTGGGTCCATTTTTGAACCACCAAAAAGCTTTTCACTTTTTTCAGGATCAAACAGGTGACCTTAATTACTAGGCCTATCTGTAAACCTAAATCATAAAAACATCATAAACTTAATGATTTATCTTCACGTAAATAATCAATTAATTTCTCAAATCGTAAAATAAGTTGTATGTGTGTGTAATCTCAATGGATATGATAAAGGAAAACATTTAATTTTTTTGTATTGGTTTTACAGCAGAAAATATATTTTGGTTTTGAATTTTATTTAAAAAAGAGTCATGTTTTAGTCTTATCACTGAGACTGGGAATAGTTTTCAAACATAGATTTAGTTCAAAAATATTTTTTTAGCTAATTAGCAAACATTTTTCATTTAACTCTGACAAATGATTTAAAAGCAGAAATTTAGTTAATCCTATACGGTGTTTAAAATCAAATCAACCTAGGATTAGCTCATTGAATGGGGAAGGATGTGTAGACGGTTAGTTAAATGAAGAGCAGCAAGAAAGCACCTGAATTGTATCCACAATTTCTATCTTATGCCTATATTTACCCACTTCCCTAGATAAAGAGTCACTGTTTGTTTTATGATTGGATAACATGAAAATGTTCCACTATTAAAACAAATTTATTTTTAAGCATTTACCTTTATCGAATTTCCCTATAGGGAAGTAGCTATTACCGTAGGTGGCACGGTAAGACCTAGGCCCGGGACCGATTTACTTTTTCATTTTGATGTCCCCAGAGGCCAAAAACACCATTCGTTCAAATTTGTATATGTATACAGTATATATATATAGATTTATATATACAGTAAACCTTTAATAGTTCGACACTCGATAGCTCGATATTCCTTGTAATTCGACACGGGCTGAGGCTACCTGTCTAACCATTAGCGATCCATATTTTGTTTTGATTCTACGATTGTCTATGACCGGAACTAGTTCTTTCCAGTTATCAGAGTGAAAAACAATCGAAGCAGATCACAAAATATTTTGTCAAGTGATATTTAATGGTTACTATTGTGATGTAAGTCGACTACAACATTAATTTGTAATGTATTGTTGACTAATGTATTGTTGACTAATGTATTGTGAGACTAATGAACAATGAAATTGTTAAGCTTTTTAGTATTTAATAAATTTGGGTGATTTCTATATAAAACTTGTATTTTTACTTTCCTGTATATTCAACTCCATTTACTCCCTATAGTTCGAGATTTCGATTGTTCAACATCCCTTAAGTCCACAAAGTGTCAAACTATCGAGGTTCTACTGTATATATATATGTGTGTGTCTGTGAACGGGATAACTTAAGTTTTTTTGTTTGATTTTGATGAAATTTGGTTTAAAAGTGTAAGGCGGGATAAACTTGAATGAGTTCACGAACCAGCGTGATCAGACCATGGGAACGGGGTTTTACGGGGTAAAAATGGGGTTTTCTCATTATTAACCATCAAAACACAACATTTTTTAATTTCTCTTTACACATTTTTAAAGTGCTAAAAAACAAATGATTTAGTAGGTACATCAAAAAGTTTTTTCACGGTGATTGGTAATGGAGAAAATTCAAAAAATTGTAAATCTAAAATTCCAATGTTATTCTTATGGAGAATATTGTACAATGTAGTAGTTTACTTACAGTTTATAGATGTATTTTGATCAAACTAGGCAGATTTATTTATTTCGTACTAAGTTAATAATATTTTACTAAAAACACACTTAATTAGTTTCGTTGTAGCAGCAAACCTAGGTAATCGTTAAACCTAATGTTATTTAAACAGATTTAATTGAAAATCAATTCAGGCAAGTGGAAATTTGCTTAGTCAGCAGGTTTGCTGCGGTGGGGGTATTATCCTTTTTGGGTTGGACGTTGGACTAAATCTATTTGACAAATTTTTGGGTAAAAAAGGATTGTTGAAAATATTTTTTGAAAGTCACTAAGATCAGCTGATACATCAAAGCCAGAATCATCAATTGAAAGCGCAAGGAAATGAGACATCTAAGTTTTGAACCATCAAAAATGTACTGCCTCTTAAGGATCAACATCAAGCAGATTTTCAGTATGGCGTTCATAATGTTAAATTAAGCAAACTTAAGGCTGCACATGCGTTTATGTTAAAAACATGTAGCATTGTTTGTGTGAGTTGAATGATAAGTTTTTGTGTACTGACGATGACAATGTGTTCCTTGATATTACGAATCAAGAAGCTTGACAATGAAATTGTTTTGAAACTAGTTGATTGAGATTAAGACTACATTAGGATAGATGACTTATCGTGCATAAACCTAAGTGTAAAATCAAAATGTATAGAAGATTGAATAGCTCCAAATATATCAAGTATCAGGCGTATCAGTTTAGAATTAGAGTTCAATAAAAGACAAGAAGTTTATTTTTAGACTTGTTCTTTACAGTTTAACTGCCCTGTGTTAGTTGCTGGTTTGTTGGACCTTGTTATTTTTAGTCTTCAGTTTATGTGAAAGGAACTGGCACACTAGCTAACTAAGAAATAAAATTGAGCTAGGGTGTGCATCTAAAATTATTACTTAATCGGTCCTAAAAAATGACATAAAGCATTCCTTTTATTTATCATTAGAGTACTGTATTGGAATTATTGTGTTGTGCTATCTGTAAATCAATTTAAAGAATTTAAAGAATTATTTGTTAAAAAACCTAACACCTACAACAGATTACTTATTCTCCATAAAAATAAAATTGAATTAATTTACAGTTTTTAAAATTTTGTTCCATAACTATTTAGTGCACAACAACACTTCAATATAAAATTTCTTTTGTTAAGAACTACAAAATGGCTTGGAGAGAAAATGGGAAATTCTATATATACCTTAATGAACCTTCGAACCAGCATGATCGGACTATGGTACGGGAGTTATGGGGTAGAAATTGGTGTTTCCCATTTTCGACCCTCATAACTCTGAATAACCCATTTTCTCTCCAAACCGTTTTGTAGTGCTTAAAATATAAATTTAGTAATATATATTGTGTTTTTGGTCTGTTTAGCGTCTAGAGACATCAAGACAAAAGAAGCAAATTGGTTCTGGGTCTAGGTATATAAAAATGAGTATAAAAAAAATTCAAGTTAAAATATCTTAGTCCCTATATGGAAAATTCACGGGAAATAGTCAACTCAATTTAGAATATTAAATCAAACCTATAAACGTACTCCAGGTCAGTCAAATAGTAAAAATGATCTAGGCACAAAAACCTTATGAATCACATTGTGCGATTAGTCGCTGCCAACACGACATGCAAATGGCCAACAATGCAGACAATTGTAATATTTTGTATGTTGGCAACATTCCATCATGAGCTACTGCATGTGTGTAAGTGAGTAGTGTAGGAACTTAATAAAGTAAAGTGGTTTCCGTTCTGTTATGGGATAATTTTTGTTAGAGAGTTGGTTAAATTAAAAGTAAATTACCCCAGCCGAAGGAAAAATAAAGACTAAGCAAAATTCCATTCACCTGTTTGGATTTTTAGTATAAAATAACACGCCAGATTTATCCCCTATTTAAATAATATTAGGTTTAACAAACAACTTAGTTTTCCTGCTACAGGGTTGGAAAAAAGTGTTTTTTTGGAAAATATTTATAGTTGGTATAAACAAATAAGTCTGCTAATTTTGATCAAAATGTATCTATATACAAGGAAAATATAACTGTTTGCTTATTCTCCTTAACAGTAACATGGGAACTTTTAATTTTCAAACTTTCTCCCTAACAATTAAGTGGCTAACGATTTTTTAATATGGTGGAAGGAAAAAAACAGGTGTGAAACTCTTGTCATAGGCTGACGTGACCCAGATTGCAAATAGAAAATCACCTGATTGTAACTGTAATATAAGTAGCTGGGATGTAGTTGGAGAACTTCGTCATACTTCTAAAAAATTATAAAGCCTTAAAAAAATGTATTTGGGTAGTTTTATTTTTTCCACCCAGTTACTTACACAGCTGTTGTTAGACGGAGACTGGGGAGGTGGCATGTCAGTATCATCTTCCCAGACCAGCCGAGGGGGTCGCTTCTTCTGTACCCCTACAACACAACAACATACAATGTTGACACAACAACTGTCACTGTTTTTAGGTGAATGGGGAAAATCTTAATACAAATTTTTACTCTAAGTAAAAGATCCTAAATCAACAATCCAAAATTAATCTTTTGGACAAATCATTCCTAAAATGAGAATTAAACAAGCACACATTTGGAAACAACTAAGCCTCATCAACTTGAAAAAGGAGGATTTTAATTTGAACTAGAGGTCTGCAATGGTCCAAAACTCAACCAAAAATATGTAATGTACAGACTTCTCAATTTTCACCCCACGCTGTAAATATAACATGTGATTAGAATTTCTTCCATTTGTTTGGATTTTATTTTTATTTTCCATTGTTATTTCCTCACCAGCATAGCAACCCATAAGGCCCATGTTTATTTGAAAAAATTTAAATTAATTTGTTGTGCTTATTTTTTTAGCGTATTTTAATTTTAAAGGGCACATCTACAGAAAAATATGTTTCTGAAAGTATGTGTAGATTTCCCTGTAATGCACACGAGCGTCACATGAGAAAAAATGTTTTAAAGAAACATGCTTGTCTATTTAATATATAGTTAATATTGCGTTAGATAAATAAATAATAGCAAGACAAAAATCAAACATATTTCACACTCAAAACTAGTTGGCAAGCTACCTATCTATATAGAAAAAAGCCATACATGCAAATTTAACCACACAAACCCAAGCATTAGTTCCAAATATTCTAATCAATCATAGTCCACTAAACCCATAAGTTGATGTTTGAAAAGAGCAAACATATCTCTGGCCACTGTTTGCTCAAAAAATACGACAATTATTTGAGAGAGATCGTAACTCATAATCATATATCATCTACAAGAGCAACGCCCAAACAATAAACCAATATCAACTCTGGAACAATTTGATTTACAACCCACTATTTAAAATTAAATTTTTTCCTTAAAACAGTAAAAACTGTTTTTGTTAATGTTTAATGTTAAAAGTAAATAAAAGGTTAAACTACCTGTGTCCGCCGGTCGATCCTAATGTATCCTATATAGGATCCTAATAGGATACATTAGGATCGACCGACGGATACAGGTAATTTAACCTTTTATTGAATGTCATACCGATTCGGAACAACAACAAACAACATAAAATGAAGTTAAAAGTAAATATTTTAAGGTGTATCTGATTAAATTTTTCCGGAAAATGTTTGGAACAAAATTTCTGACTTTGCAGATTTGTATAGCCTATTTTATTTAGGTGATAAATTAAAAGTCTCCACCTGTAGCACCTGTGAGGTGGGGGGTTTGAAGGTACAACAATCCTAAGAAAGCGATGGATTCTGACGGATGAAGTGCTTGATAGGAAACACTAAATCTCATCAGAAATAATGTGGAAACATTATAACGAAAATTTGACCGTGGATTAAATTTTACGGTAATTTACTAGATGAAAAGTAGTCAATCCCTAGAATCTATATTTTAACAATCGTAAAATGGTTGTTATTTTTATATACAGAGTGTTCAGCTTTTGGTGCCATAATCTTTAACAGGTTATTGGGTAAAAAAGAAGGGTACAAAAAGGGGTAAAACTAATACAGTTTTAAAATTTAGTGATATATAATATGTAGTAATTTAATAATTCATGTGCAATCAATTGCATTTTCCAACACTCTGTTTGGATATAATACATTACGTTTTACCATTAGGATGAACAGGAGAATACAGACAAGACGTTTAAACGATTCCACTACATCATAGCTAATTTACAACTACCAAGTTTAATTTGGTAAGTGTTTAATTCACTGGTGCACTCACCCTAATATGAATAAAAATTCGCAACATCAGGTCTATGGTTGTCTCCTCCGCTATATTAAAGTACATATGGTAATGCTACCACTTCATAGCACAAGGCTGTGAACTAGCAGCTGCAAACATTGTTGATCTCTTAGTCATGTTCGCCACATCCATCTAGTACAAATGTCGTCTGCTAGTGACGCAATGTCCATTACACCCATATGTTCACTGCTAACCCTCACAGAGTGACCACTCATAGAAGAGAGGGTTCAACAAGGAAGAAAAATATGATGGTTGTCAAATTTTGTGTACAGTAGGCCTATAATGCTTATTAAAATGAAACCATCAAATGGTATAAAATACCCCCCTGGGCAGTAGTGGTTAGAGCGCGGGACTTCAGTCCCTGAGGTCCCGGGTTCGATCCCCGCCAAGACACCAATGGATTTTATCTAAGTGATAATGCCGCAACCCCTAGGTCTAGCCTGAAGTAATGTGAAAACAATCTCAGGCTCGTGCCTAGCGTCCTAGGACAAAAAAAAGTAGTAGGATGAAATAAATTTGCTAAATTTGATCATCATATATAAACAAACAAGCAAACTACAAAAGTGTTTTTTCTTCGTAAGAATAACATAGAAATTTAAAATGTTAAGTTTTTTTTCTCCATAACTTTTATCTGTACATCAACACATTATGAAACAAAATTATTGGGTTTTAAAGCTCTACACGATGGTTGTAATGAAAAACTTTAAAACCCCATAACACCCTGAACTTGATGGTTCGTTACCTCATTCAAGTCTATTCCATTCTACACGTTTATTCCAAATTTTATCAAAATCTGTGAAAATTTATTAAAATTAAAAAAAATAATGTTTTATGCCTCTGAGGGTATCAAAAAGTAAATCAGTCCTGGGTCCAGGTCTTACCCTCTTATCGTGCCACCTACGTTAATAGCTACTTCCCTATTGGGAAATTCACTAAAACAGCAGGGAGATGGTTAGGTCTATGGACAATTAATAAGACAGTTCTTTAATACTTTACTTTTTAATCAAGAAGAGATGCAATATGTCACTCTTATTAAAACATAAATACTTATCATCACAAACAATGAACTTAAATAACATTGCAGTTTCTACTTTAATAAAGCATTCTACTTAGATTGAAGGTCATTAATTTTATATTCCATAACAATTATTGTTATTACAACATTACGCTTAAGTTTTACTTCAAGTTCTGGGCAATGTTCAAATAGGAAATTTCATATTGGAACGAAAATATTCTGTTTTACTACAGCTTCATTTTGTTTTAAAAATTTATTTTAAACTGCTAAATTGTAAAAATCAAAATCCCCTCCACATTATAAAAGACACCTATAACTCGCTCAAACCGAACCGAAGTTATTACAAAACATGGGATGAGAAATGACATTTACATCAGTCGTGGTGGCACAACTGCAATACTGTCCAAGACGTAGTCGTAGTGGCACTGGTTACTACGCTCGTAAAAAGTATAAAGAACACTACTGACAACTTGGCTATGCTGGTTGTCCATTACTTTGCCTTTGTTTTGTTTAAACAATATTGAGCCAACAGTTTGATTTATAACTTTGTCTTTCCTAGTTTAAATTTTTTTTCTATGACCAACTGACTACAGTTTAACCACAATTAACTGCCTCTCTTTTCTGTCATCCACCTCAAATGGTGTGACTGCCAAACCGTACTTCAACTATTTCCACTTTGGGTTTTTGTTGTCCCGCAGTTTTTCTAATGGTTTTAATATAAGGGGTATCAACTTGAAGCTTATAGTATACTATAGTGGCTATATAGTTTTAGTACAATCCGATTTTTTTTAATAACTGTTCTACCTATATAGTAAAGCAACATTTTACAGAATTGAAAATGTGTCAAATTGTAATAGGAAAATTCCTAAATAAAATTATACCAAACATTAGTTTAAAACAATTCTAGCAGCCAGTGATAGACAAACAGCTGGACCCAGCAGTTCCTGATCTATGGCTTTAAATAAATGATCCTGACTAATAAAATAGCTGATCTTAGTCAATAACAGAGCTACACAAATCATCTGACACCATTTTACACTCATCCTTCACTCATATTTGGGTTGAAATACGCACCTAGGTGGCGTCTCCATCCCAACGATTGATAATGAGAAAATAATAATAAACCTACAATAAATTACAGCATATTGTGCTTTACAATTACAGTAATTTCCAAAATAATATGATTACCTTGGATTAAGTTTAAAATAACAACAATTTGGTTAGCTTACTCAAACGGACTAGAATGATGAACGGAATATTCCGCAATGATTCTAATCAATTTCAATTGAACGTCTCCACGCTATATGGTGGTATATGGTCTGCTTCTTTTACAACTGTTTGTTCTGTTAAACTTACACAAAATACTATACAGCAGACATTAAACAGCTGATTGTAACAATAGTATTCGTTATGAATTTATTTACATAGAAAATAAGCTTACATTTTTAATGCAGTTTACTGTAGTCGTAATTAGCAATTTATTTGTTCTTGTGATCAAAACTTTAATGTATTTTTAAATAATAATATTTCAAACAGCCACTGACAAGTTATTTTCCATCTCAAAATATTTTTTCTTATACCAAGTGATTGTAATATATCTAATGCACTGTGAGACTAGAAATGTTCTTTGTAGTTTTTTAATTGTTTTATGAGTTTGAATGTCTTTGCTCCAAGGACTTTTAATGCTTTAACTTTTTACAGAAATGGTGACCATACGATAGCAGGTATTTTAAGGCAAGGGTGAATGGAGATGAGTGTAGGTTGAGTCTGAGTGGCGCGATCTTGTAGTCTTGTTACTGACAAGGCCTACATGACCTGTAGACATTACTGTTAATTAATGGCCCATGCAGCTAATGGCAACTGGGACCTACATTTTATAGTGGAATCCGAACCATATTTTTGCCTTGTAATTTACAAATTTGTCTAATCATCAGGATAGTAGGACTACTGCGAATAGTCATAGTAGTCACTAGTACTAGTACGAGATATTCCAAACCAAAAAATTTTGAAAATTTCAGACAGTAAAACCTTGAAGTCAGTGTCATAACCATGAGTTTTACCATTGACTATTCACAGAATAGACTTCCCATGTAATTTTAAAAATTTGAAGAGAAAAAAAACATGGTGCAATCTGTTAAGATGGTCTACCAACGAATGACAATATTCTGTGTCAAGTGATAAATCAATCAGCTGTTTTCTATGTTACTCTATTGATTTTAATTAATAGTACCGGGGATCGAGCCTTGCTCGGTTTGATCAGACACATTTATAATTATTTTCAAAAAAAGTTTTATTACAATTACAAACCAATATTTAATCGCTGAAATAATATCAACAGTGTAATGTGTGTCTATCTAATTACACCCGTTTCATAGATCATAGCATTTAGATTATTTGCAGTACCATGACTTGAGTAATAACATTTCATTTTATTAATATTAACCACTGACATAACTGAACATTTATATAAACTGAAAGCTCATAGTTTTTTTGACGTTTTGAATTTATAATGGGCAGCAATAATGAAACACTACGGAATAGTGTGTCTGTAGGCTACGGGGAGTAGTGTGGCCTTGGTAGAGGCCATCCTCCACGCATATCAGATCAAATTGGATGTTTCAAGAGACCCCATTTTTACCTGCTCGATTTCTAGATCGGTTTGGATGTTGAAGAACTACCCTCTAACCGTGATCAGTCCAGACACACGTCGTGTGCATTCATGCCACGTCAAACGGTTCCATTCGAGAATATCCTAAATCCCCTGAATGGCGAATTTAGAGGTTTGAGGAATTGCAGTGCGCTGACATTCTTCCTAACGTCAAGCCGCATTTCCTTGACACTACTGCTCAAGATGATTGGCCTGTTCATTTTGCACGGCCATAAGATCTTAAATTATTTCTCTCCTTTTATTTTTTGTTACGATGCGCGACTTGACAGAGGTAGACATTTGGTGAGATGTATAAGTTGGTTGTAACTGACTCGGTTGTAGACAAAGAGGTGAAATGACAATCGATTGAAGCTTCTCTGCCTTTCGGATTATGTATATTGCTTCGGAGGTCTTCAGCGTTTTATTCTTAATCTTGTAAATTAGCCTTGAAAACATTTAACAGTAATATGTATGTAAGCCAAACTGAATATGACTATTCTTTAAAATGTTTAGTACAAACCATAGACAAATTCTTTTTGTCTATGTCCAAACTAACCAATACAGTTATTTTTGTTTACACGTAAATCAACATGTTGGCAGTAAAAACAATCTGTCATTTGATTAGCCTTGCAGCAAACAGCAGTTTTCTGGACTAAATCCTTGCATGGGAAGTTCGTCAAAATAGTGTAGTGTGGCGTAAAGGTATTGGCGATAATATGGACACTTTCAAGGGCTGTAGGACGGAAACTGGACTTTTCCCAGCTGTGTCACCAACTCCAATCGTTTTCTCGTGACCAAATACCCCATTTTTTAGGACAATATTAAACAATATTCGGACAGAAAAAAAGTTTGCCCGTACATGCGCTTATTTAGATTATAAGATTTATCCCAAATACACTAGTACCACCTGGTGAGATGGTCCTGAACTTCATCTGTTTTCTTGGTGTCAAATCTTTACATTACATGGGAAGTCAATGCCTGTGTTTTGTCAATGGTTTTACATCAAGCCATTCAAAGCATACGATAAGAGAAAAATAATATACTATCCACCACCTCCATGAAGTATAACTTAACTAATACCTACATGTTGTTGCTACCTCTTAAGCAGAAATCGTCACAAGCTAATTATGATGCAAAGAGAAAAAGTAAATTTTGAGGCGGAAGTAGCTAAATAAACTTTTCCACCATACATTATCCGATGTGAAAAATACGCAACAAATTCTGTAACTATAACTTGTTGAAACAAAATGACACGTAATATTTTGGACAGAAAACAATTCAAATTGAGTACCGGATATTCACAATCTAAATTAAAATATTTAAAAACTATAAAATATTTCATCTACAACTTGTTTTCCAGCAAAACTACGACATACCCTTCTACAAGCAATTCTGGCGAACATACCTTTCGGCCAATACGACAAAGACATACTCGGTGGGCGCGGGCAGTGTCACGGATGTGAAATCTCAGTAAAGTTGGTTCTCGGCCGGCTGTGACTGTCCAGTGTCCAGCGGCCAACGTGTACAACCATCTGAGGTACAGTGTGTGGTTAGTGTACTGCATAGCAAACGTGTGGACAACAAAATATAATGGTGAAAAAAAAGTAGGACTAAACATACAGAATAATGCTAAAAATCAAAAAAACATAAGGCTTTTAACAGAAATACTAAAATGCATTGTTGTAGCCCCGGAACTGTAATATATCAAATATTTGGTTTTACAATACCTTTATCAGTTCCAAAAGTAACCTTCGTCAACGTGTTACATGTTTCGACGAGCTGCCATTGTCAAACACTTCAATACAGGAAGATGTAGATCCGCTTGAATAGCTTCGTTCTCACAACACATTACACGACATACAACATTTACATCTTCGGATCTACATCTTCCTGTATTGAAGTGTTTGACAATGTCAGCTCGCCGAAACATGTAACACGTTGACGAAGGTTACTTTTGGAACTGATAAAGGTATTGTAAAACCAAATATTTTAGAAATACTAAAGTTAAACTAAAATAAATTTTACTGTTTGTGAAAAAGTGTGTACTTATTTGACTTTATTTAATATAACTAATTTATAAACTTATGATCAGATTCATACACGGAATATTGGAAATATGTACAATAATTAATAACAAGGAGAGCCTTGCACAAATACACATTTTCATAGGCAAAATGAATAAACCAATACCCTTTACCTTTTAAAAATTACTCGGTAACTGAAAAAATTTAACATTTCATAAGAAACATCATCATACAAATAATATGTTTAGCTACGACCGTTTTTAAAGTAGCCATTTCAGTTCAGTTCTTATAATTTAAAAATATTCATTTGATAGAAATCAAAAATAGTTTTTGAAATAGTTATCAAAAATAGACATGTTTACTTACTTAACAGCATTGTTGTTTTACTTAACAACACGGGTAACGGACCAATGAGGCTCGAAGATAGATAAAATGAAGTACAATAATTGTAATGCTTCGAACTTAAACTAATAAGCTGTTCGGACCAATTTAATTTTTAATGAGATTGTTGCAATTAGTGTTTGGTACAATGATTCTTTGCATCACTGTCAGTGACAATGAGAAGTTATAAACGAAAACATCACCTCTCTTAGAAGTTATGAGTAATGATTGTTAGTGTAGTAAAAAAACTGTCGTAAGTTAAGCTGTGTCGCAGCTCGAGTAAATAGTCTTAACGCGATCGTTGTGTAAACTACTGTTTTGACGAATAAAACTACTAATTTACAATAATTAAAATATTAATTTCTTCTGTATACCATAAAGAGTAATTTACCTACCTCAATCAGGATGAAATAATCAATAAAAGTAGCCTGTTTAAATTTAATTTTCATAAACTATTCTGTCCCTTATTTTTGTTTGTATTTAAATATTTTACTGAAGGTAAACAGTTGTTAATTTAAAATTCAAATTTAAATCCATTATGAAAGAAAGTTTGCTAGCATTATTATACCTTTGAAAGCACCCTCTCTCTAGAAATAAATCAATCTCTTGGGCAAAACCCTATAGGAAATTACCTTTTTTCTTATTATTCGTTCTGACCTGGAGCATAAGCTTTAAAATGAAACCAATCGTACAAGGTGAGATAGGTCAAAAGGAATGTTTCAGAGAAAGTATATTGCTCAAATATATAAATACAACAGAAAAGTATACAGGTTTTTTCATAAATATGTATTTGTTTATTGGGCTATATTAATATCACTAATAAACTAAAAGAGACCAATTTGTGAAGAATGTGATGAAATTGTATTCCAAACTACTGTATTAAAAAAGTATTGATGTTCTAAATAAAAGTGTTTACTATTCTTTGTATTGCTGTTGTTGTGGTTTGTTGATGGTGGTAGGGGATTTGAGGGGGGGGGGATGAAAAATGGAGAGAAAGGGTACATAGTTTAGAAGTATATTTATTAAAATTCAACAATAAAATAGGACACAAGAAGAAAAGTATTGACTCGCTTCTGTACAAATTAGTTTAAGAATAATTTTATGGATAACTTCATAACCAAACAATTCATTGATGCGACTCTTAACATTCTTTGACCTCTAGTTGTCAACATAAAAACAACTTATGCTGCTACAACATTAATGACAAATAATTAATTGTAGTACCTTTTTGAAAAGTTGTAATTGCAAATATGGATAAACAAATGTATTCTAACTTAAAGACAGTTCGAAGTATGGCAACTGGTTGGAATGAATCTTTTTAGTGGTAGATCTATTGTATTGTATTGTATTGTATTGTATTGTTGTGTATTGTATTGTGTTGTGGGGTTTGAATGTATAAAATGTCCTTAATGAAGACGAATTGCCACCACTTAAAAGAGCTCTAGATGACAGTCTGTTGTCTGTTCTGTTTCTTGTTTCTAGCAGTTTATTTTAAATCTAAATGGCCACAAAGGAAATTACATTTTGAACTTGGAACTCTTAAATTAAACTGTTCATACTTCATAAATGTATTACACAGCTAATGTATTAATCTGTTACACAAACAACAAGGAAACTTAGCTTTCAAGTAGCAAACATTTAACAAAACAAAGTAATGAGCACAAATAATTAATAGTGTAACTTTTTGCCCGCAATTTTATATACTATCATATCCTACAATAGGATAGGATATGATCTTAAGCCTCGAAGATTATGAGGAAGAAATCTAAAATGATTCCAGAATAGTCATTTATACAAAATTTATTTGGAAAATTGTCTTCTTCTAACAATTTAAATCTCCCAATGAGTGTAGCAAATATCAACAACAAAACACTCAAAAAGAAAGGATGAACTTATTTCAAATTATTGATATACTAGGAAAATACAAACAAAACGAAATCGCAAAACGGTGTGTGGAGAGGCAGGGGCAGGGGAATGGGGAAGGGGCCTATCAAGTTTTAATTCCAAGGTAAAATGCCCCTGTGGCCACAATGCCACATTTTTGTTGCGAGAGAGGTGGAATTTATAAATGGCGAATAACTCATCCAACGCCTCGATGATAAATCTATTGTTTTAATTGAGCTCTTAGTATTGGTATTCTCCTCTTCCACATTTGAAAGACTCACTGTCCAAAAAATGTATGGATTATGCAATTAAGGTACAATCCAATAATTAGAAGTAAACGTGTGAAAGGACTGTGATAATCAGGTTTATTTTGACCTAAGACTGATTTTCTACATTTTTAGATAGGAGATAAATTTACTTAATCCCTCTTGCTAGAACGTGTGAATGTATATATGAGGACGTGCAGTAAAATGTTTATCATACTGGGTGTTTTGTTTTAACGCACATCCCAAATTAAAAATACTGTGATACACATATTAATGACAAAACAACCCAACAACAACCTATTTTGGTATCCCTGTGTTCTTTACTTTGCCGATCAGCTAATATGCGTTTTGCATAGTTGTAGGTTTAGTGATTTTGGGAATTTATTGAATATAGGGTGTTCAAAAAAGGTGGGGACATAATTTACGTAGTTTTATTCCTTGGGTCAAAATAAAAAGAAAATCAAAAATTTAATTTTTCCAAAATCGCTTCGTTAACCATATATCCGCAATTTTTTAATTTTTACATAAGCATTTTTATTGAACTTAACCTTTCAAAATGACGGTAATTTTAATGTTTTTAACTTAAATTACAAAAATTGGCCGATTTTATGAACAAAATGTGAAGATCATTTTCGTTTAGAATTTTTAGTTTCCTATAAAACGATAGCATGTTCAAAATGATCGAATAATAAATACAGTAGTTGAAATATTAAGATTTTTAGTAGTAAATGGGGCAAACCTGACTATACTAGCTTATGCCTTATTCTACCCCATTTTACAACGATATTTCTTAATCGATCTTTTTGATCTAGGTATAAGGGAATTAAAAATGTGAAATAAAACTGTTCTTGACATTTTCCATCAAATCAGCCATTTTTTTTGTAGTTCAAGTTCAAAAAATCAAAGCGCCCACCATTTTGAAATGTTAAGTTAAATCAAGATGACTTTTGTTCTAACATGGTTCTCTTCTACCTAAACATACATACCAAGTTTCATAAATATTTGTTGAAAAATTTCAAAGATAAGAATGTTTTTGTTAAAATTATAAAATGGTGGATATCTGGTTAACGAAGTGATAAAAAATAAATTATTCCAGATTTTCTCTTTATTTTGACCCATGGATCAAATAAATAATTATGTTCCCAATTATGTTCCCACCTTTTTTGAGCACCCTGTATAAGACACAACATGGCGTTTTCCTAATCTCTAAGAGTTTAGTCCGCAAGTTAACTGTGGTGGGGGTATTTTTTTTTACAATGGATTCAGTTTCCTTGAAATTCCTTTCCTTAAACTTGCAGTTTTAACCTTGCATTTGCCCATCCACAAATAGACTAACTGCTCTTGCGTGGATCGTAGTCAATGATCGTATTCAGCAAAGCAAGGGGTGAGCCGATACAGTGCGAAGGTGGACTGTACAGATAAAATTTTACGGCAGTGTCCAGGATCCAAACCCACGACATCGCTGCCTTGGGCCCGAAGTCCGTGACGCTACCGACTGAGCCACCGACTCATCAAAGTGTTCCTTGAATTCGGATTCAGTTTCCTTAAATTTGTTATGTCAATAAAAGCTGATATATTAGGTACTGGAATCACACCTGGAAACATAATTTTAAACCTTGTTGGCACAAAACCAATTATTTACTTTCAACGTATTTATCTAACTCTACCAGATTGGGAAAACGGGGCGATGTCTACTTGTACCGGCGTCTAGTTGTACCTGCTGCATTTTGGTGACAGGCGTCTACTTGTACCCCGTCCAAAGCTGTAGAGACAACTTGACGATGGTGCGGACGTCTAGTTGTACCTACGACTAGTTGTCTCTACGTCTAGTTGTACCTCTTAAAAATCTACAGGTACAACTAGTCGGGAACGTCACCGTCTACTTGTACCTCATACGTCTGCGTCTACTTGTACCTACGACTACTTGTACCTACGACTACTTGTACCTACGACTACTTGTACCTACGACTACTTGTA